GCGAGTTGATACGAGTAAGGAGTTTCTTTCCCAGGAGTCGTTGGCTGATGGGTTTGAGACCCTGACGGTGAATGAGGGAAATTGGAAACTGGGGGTGAGAGGGAAAAGAAGAGGGATCCTTATGGCGAATGAGGACTGGGGTACGATGGGTGGCAACAATCAGGATAGAGATATTCCAGAACAGGAGGTTGACAGTGGAAGGAGACAGCGGGGAGTCCTGAGAAGGATTAGGAGATGTTTGGAGTAGTGGGAGGATGAGAGCAGCGCTAGGGTGTTGGAACCATGAGTGAGTAGCCCTGAGTTTGGTCAGAAGATTGTGACCCAGGGGTGGTGTGGGGCAAGAAGGCATGACTAGGAAAGAGCGGACCAGTGGTCCTGAGCCGAGAAGGAAGGCCGTCAACACGCGTAACCAAGACCTGAGAAGGATAAACTTGACCGGAATAGGAGGGGAGGACAGAGAAGGTAGCCCCGTGTCAACCAGAAAGGAGATGGACTTACCTGCTACCTTGACCGTTACCCTGGGCTCCTCAAAGGTTATCGGAGTTGATGAGTCCGGGCCTCTTCAGTCCTCAGCCACCTAACCCAAGACCGCCGGTGGCAAGAGTTGCAGGGACTGGAAGGACTGGCCCACCACAGCCAGGCGTGGAGGGACAGTCACTTTTCCAGTGACCCTGGATGTTTCAGATGAGGCCCGGTCCTGGCGGAGGGCGGGGGTTGGGGCACTGTCTGGACCAGTGGCCTTCTCGGCCACATTTGAAGCAGGCTCCCGGTGGCGGTAGGTTGGTTGGGCCCCATGGGGCCCATTGTCGTCCTCTGTCGGTCTGCGGTCGTTGGAGGAGCAGGGCCTGGCGGTCTCAAAGCAGCTACTGGGGCCTGAGCTTGAAGCTCAGCCTTCTGGCGACTGCAGAGTTCCCTCTCTGCCCTGTCCCGTTCCTCCCGGTTGTTAAATACTGTAAAGGCCATGTTCAGCAGATCCTGGATAGGGGTTTGAGGACCATCCTCAGCCTTTGGAAGTCAGGAGGGTTTTTTTGAGGAAGACGGGGTAATTTTTCAGAACTTATGAAAGTTTATAGGTTTAGGCGCTGCCGGTTGGAGACCAGCTAGGGGACAGGTCAGAGGTCAGGGTGGAAGAGAAGATAACATGTAATTATGACATGTATGGTCATAGGCTTGGATACGATAATGAAATTTAGGTGTAGGTAGTGGGATACTTTGTGAAAGAGCCAAGACGTTTTTCAAGTTGGGAGAGATCAGACAGAGAAATGAACATGGACTCTAACTTTTTTCTTTAGTTCCCACCCACTTTTCTGAGGGGAGGGAGAAGAGGATCAGCAGGGAGAGGGTGTGGCAGCTAGGAGGTGAAAAGAAAGGGGAGGGAGGGCCTGGATTGGGGAGCTGGAGGAGGTGAAGACTGAGAATCTAGGGATCAGAGAATGCAGAAGAGGGGTCTGGAGAGGGCGAAGAGAGAGAGGAGTCTCGAGACTTAGAAAGTACGGCAGGTTTGCAGGAGGGAGGGACGGGGCGGGGCGCAAGAGAAAGACAGCCTGGCCCTACGGATCTCTGACCATGTTCCATTGCGGTGACAGGATTATTTAGGTCTGTAAGGACGGAGAAGTCAAAAGTGCCATGTTTGGGCCAGTGGGAGCCATTGTCCAATTGATACTGAGGCCATGCAGTGTTGCAGTGAAAGACGAGACGCTCAGGGCGTTATCTGGCCTAAGTCCCAACGGACCGAGGTTTGAGAGAAGGCATCCCAGTGGTGTGGCCGGGCTTGGCTTGGAATTTGCGGACCCCATGACTAAATCGGCTCCTTTCCCCAACCGACAGGGGCACAGTGTCAGAAACGCAGCGTCCCACGAGCCTGACCTGGCCTACAGGGGGCACAGCCCTGGATCGCGGCGTCCCCCGGTCCGGTTCTGGCCAACAGGCAGGGGGCAAACAGCGAAGGGGACGTCTCCACCGCTCGGTTGTTGCCTAGGCAGGGCACCTAGTCTGGATGGGCGTCCCCAAATCCAGGCCTAGGTGTAACCGGGGGTTCTGCTGACGTGGGCCCACAGTTTACAGGACAGCCGACCAAAACAGGAGGTTAGGAAAGGAGCCGAACAGCCAGAGGCGAGGGCCTCCCAGGAAGGAGGGTCAGGCAGGTGACTTACCCCAAGGATTAAGGCCGGTGGTGGGTGTGAGGCGTCTGCAATGGAGAGAGGTCCCAGGGACGAGAAGGCGGCCCCGGCGCCAGGGGACACGGCCTTCCCAGGTTTCGTCACCAAGATGAAAGGTTCGGTGCGGTAAAGAAAAGGAGAGCCAGGCTACATTTCTCAAAGGGACGGAAAGTTTATTGCGCCCCGGGCGGACCTCACAGACCCAAGGCGGGGGTCAGTGGAGTCGCGCACGTTGTTAGGGGGAAGCAGGGTTTTATAGGGCGAGGAGAGGTCAGGTGGGTAGTTGGGCTCCTACGGCAGGAAAAGTTTGTAGGGCAGGTAGAGGTTCTTTGTCTGAGATGAGACTCGTAGGGGGAGGGGGGAGGCTCATTGTCTGAGTCCTCCAGGCAGGTATCCTCATCCCTGCCCCCCAGGTGGGCTTCCTGGTTGGCTCCTGCATTCCGGCCCCCTGCATGGACCTTTCAGAGATGAACTTTTATAGGCCTTTTATAGGGGAGATGAACTTTTTTTTTTTTTTTTTAAAGATTTATTTGTTTATACAAGCACTGGGTACAGTCAGAAGCGCGGGAGGGTGAGAGAATTCACCAGAGCCAGAGCGGGGAGCAGAACAGGCAGAATGACGAAGTACACTGCTGAGGGGAGCAGTGGGTGCAGCAGGAGAGGTCTGCGCGCCATGTGGGACCCTCGCCGGCAGCCAGGGATCAAACCGGTGCTGCAGAGACTGCGGGCAGCTTCGCAGCCCAGCGCTCAACCGCTGTGCCACTGGGGAGGCCCAAGATGAGCTTTTTATCTGTGAAGTGAGTTGCAAATATTTTTCCCAGTTTGTCACTGGCCATTTGACTTTGTTGCTGAGGTTTGTGTGTGTGTTTGTGTTGGAAGTGGATAAGACTTTTATGTGTCAGACTTTAGCAAGATTTTGTTTTGTGCCTTTTGGATAGTACCTTACTTCAAAGGCCTCACAAATGCAAGATTGTAAACTAACTTTCCCAGGGTTTCTTCCTGTATTTTATGGTTTCATTCTTTGTATTTAAATCTTTGACCTCTTTGGGATTTCTCCTGGGGTCTGGTGAGTATGATGAACCAGAATTTCACAATCCTTTAATTCTTTAAATAGCACTTCCTTCCTGTAATGCTCAAGTCCTTTGTAGAAACCATTAAATGTTAAGGCTGGAAGATTAAGAGCCATGACAATTAGAAATGGAAATTCCTCTATATTACAGACTTGCAATTTGACTTTTTCTCTCTTGTTGGGTGTCACCGGGTGCCTGCCACCTGCCCACCCTGTGCCGGCTCTGGGGGGCCCAGCCTGGGGGAGGGGGCAGGGCTGTCATACATGTGCAGTGAAGTTATCTGGGGAAGATGAGAAGGGGAGACCTCTGTGATTGTGGGCACTGGGGGAACCTGAGCTGGTGGGGGGGATAGTCAGAAAAGGAAATGATGCTTAGCTGAGGTGTGGCTGGAGGCTTAGGGCTCACTGGGTTTGGGATGTAGGCTCAAAGGGGTGCCCCTCCCCCATGGGAAGACTTGGCTTGAGGAGCAAGCAGAGACATTTGGAATATTTGGGGTGGGGGGATGGGTAGAGGGACATGGGGCCTCCCCCCCACCAATTTCCTCTGTGATGAAAGAACAAAGGAATCAAATGAAGCAGATACATTTCTGCTGCCCACCGCGGCCACAGTGCCCGAGTGCGGGGGTCACCGAGGCTCTGGGAATGGCCCCTGAGCCCACAGCAGTGCCCCTCTCAGTGACCGTGGGGCTCTGCTTTCCGGTTTTGTAGATGGGAAACTGAGAGCGGGCGGTGCCTCACCTGCCCCAGGGCTCAGGACGCTGTCCCCAAGGCCGGGCTCTGTCTCACCCACTCTCCTCCGCCAATTACCGGGAGAGCAGCGGCCTGGGCCAGGCCCTCATCAGCCCCCAGAAGCCTTTAACAGCACTTGCCAGGAACGAACGTTTGGCTTTCGTCAGCCGGACGCGGCATAATTGAGCCTCCCCTGACTCACTGGGCTGTGACTTCAATCGCCCGCTGTGCCAGGGCTTGTCTGCCCGCCCGCAGCTTCCCAGGCTCTCACCTCCACAGGGCGCGGGGCGTGGGTGGGAGGTTTGCCCAGCTCCGGGGTCCATGCTGGTCTCGTCTCCCCTCTCCCGCCCGCCCCTCCCCGGCAGTCAGGGCAGCCTCCCAGGTCTGCCAGGTCCGCCCTCCGGGGCCGCTGCCATCTGTGCCCTCCTCTCTCCCCTCCCTTTGCCGGCTTCCTCCTGCTCTAGTCTCCCCGCGGCGTTTCTTGTGGGACCCCTACTTCTTGGCCCTTGGCACCAACATTGCTGTCCCCTCTGCTCCTTCTGGGTGTCCAGCTCCCCAGAGGTCAAGGGCACTGGCATTTGAGGTCCGGGGCAACAAAGGCTGGCCCAGTCTCATTGAAGACTGTGAGAAAGCATTTGGGGGCGACCTGGCCTGGGAAGAGCCCAGGGGGCGGACCCGGCTGTGCGGCTCTGGCAGGCTCCCCGTCCCTTCAAGGAGTGACCTGAAAACAGGGCGGTGATGGCAGCGACACAGTGGCCTCCTGAGAGTCTGAGGAGTGACCCCAGGGTGTAATTAAAAAACACACCAATTCTCAGGCTCCACCCGACCCCCCCCCCCCACTAGAGGCAAGGGGGCTGGGTTAGCATTTGAATGGCCACCCCTCATGGTTCTGATCCTGGTTAGGCTCCTGGAGACCGGACCTACCCTCAGAGGAGCTCTTCCCGCTCCCCCCCCCCTCGGGCTGGGATGTCACCCCGAGGGAGGGCTCCTGCCCCAGCTTTTCTCTCTGGGACGCTCGTGCAGCCTCGCGTCTCCTCCGCCAGGTCCTTCGCCAAGCCCCCAAAGCAGGTGCAGACCGTCTGCGAGTGCATCCTCATCATGAAGGGCTACAAAGAGGTTAACTGGAAGACCGCCAAGGGCATGATGTCCGACCCCAACTTCCTGAGGTCCCTGATGGAGATCGATTTCGACTCCATTAGCCCGAGCCAAGTGAAGAACATCAGAAGTGCGTGCAGACCTGTGGGCCGGCACGGGGCCTCGGGGTGGGGCGCCGCCCGGAGGGGGCTGGGCGCGGGCAGATACCCCGTGGGGGTCCCTCGGCCCCGCCGTGGCCAGCAGGTGGAGCAGGTGGGATGGCCATCCCAGGAGGGTGCGGGGTGCAGAACAGGCTGCAGCAGCCACCACTGAGCATTGGGCTCAGCGATGGCCACCACTGAACATTGGGCTCAGCGATGGCTTGTCTCCCCGCTACCAGCAGCGCCTTCCAAGGGAGCCCAGCCGGCTTGTCTTCTTGCGTCGGGTTGGCCGGGTTGAGTGGAGCCAGGAGCTGGCCTGACCTTGGCTCTCCCCTGTGCCCCTCGCCAGCTCAGGGTCTCCCTAGGCCCCAGGGCTGGGTGGGGAGCAGGGATGCATGGCCAGGCTGCCCTTCTGTCTCCAGTTCCTTTTGGCCGGGTTCCCGACGTGGCCCAGGCCTGAGCCGGTTGGAGCGTCAGGGCTTCGGCTTTGTTGTCAGCCGGCTCTGCAGAGCGCCATCATCAGATGCTCTTTTTCAGTTGGCAAACAAAGGGAGCAACACCTACAAATACCCAGAGGCCTCTCTTTACCCATTATTAGTTGAACAGGCTCGAGTTACGTGACACCACCCCGGGGCGAGGCGGGAGGGGGTCAGGGCCACTGGGGCCTCTGAGTTCCAGCTTAAGGCCTGCTCTGAGCCGCCTGTGGGCGTCCAGGGTCCCCAGGGCTGCCGGCGCCCACGGAGCACATGGCGGAGGTGGCTGGGCCACGGCGCCCTCAGCGGCTGTGACTGTGACCTCCATTCATTTCCTAAACATCCACTCGCCCAATGCCCAGGGCTCCGGAAGAGCCGTGGGGCCCCGCCGGGCGCAGGCAGATGAGGAGCTGGTCGCGCTCACCCTGTCCACGGTGGGCGATTCCCCCAGGACGAAGCTCAGCGCTCACGAGAGTGTTGCGCCTTTAGGTCTCCTGAAGACGCTCAACACCACCACGGAGGAGATGGAGGCGGTGAGCAAGGCGGGCCTGGGCATGCTGAAGTTTGTGGAGGCTGTCATGGGCTACTGCGACGTCTTCAAAGAGATCAAGCCCAAAAGAGACAAGGTACTGCCCGCCCTGAGCCCCCAGCCCCCTGCCGAGACGCCTCCGAGGCCCAGAATGAGTGTGGCCCAGCTCTGCTGCCAAGTCCGGGCGCAGTCCTGATCCCCCCAGTGATGACTGAGAGCCGCAGTTGCACTGACAGAGCCCCTGCTGGTGGGAGAGGGTGGGCTGAGGTGGCAGAGCCCAGCTGGGGGCTGAAGCCCCGGGGTGCTCAGCCTGCTGCTGTGGACATTTGGGACTTGACAGTGCTGGGGTGGGGGGGCTGTCCACGCTCGGTGGGACGGGGTCCCCGGGCTCCACCCACTCGATGCCGTTGTCCCCGCCCCCTATTTGTGACCAGACATGGGTCCAGACAGCCCCACATGACCCTGGGGGTGGGCGGAGGCAAAACGGCTCCCATTTGGGAACTGAAAGTCACTCCTGGGTGGCACCTGCGAAGAGGCTCCTGATGGGGAGCTGGGGCCTCGGCTGTGTGTTGACTTTGCTTGTGACTGCGCTCTGGCTCCGAAGACACAGCCCAGCGGTCAGACCCGGGGGCCCTTCCGTGCAGGACCCAGTGACATTGTGCTGTGCCTTAGGGCGCACGTGAGCTAACCACCTGCCAGGGGGCCCGGGCCTCTGACCCCCACTGGTGCCCCTTCCCCCATGGTCCTGCCCCCCCTCATGCAGGTGGCCAAGCTGGAGCGGACTTTCTTCCTCACTAAACGTGAACTGGAAAAGATCCAGAATGAGTTGGCGGCCATCCAGAGAGAGCTGGAAGCTTTGGGGGCCAAATACGAGGCGGCCATCCTGGAGAAGCAAAAGCTCCAGGAAGAAGCCGAGATCATGGAGAGGCGGCTGATTGCCGCCGACAAGCTCATCTCCGGGCTGGGGTCCGAGAACGTCAGGTCAGCGGGGGCGGAGGGATAGAGGGGGTGCGGGACCCCCAGCCTGTGAGGAGTGGCTGGGGCCAGACTTGGTGGCTTGTGGGTGATCATGCTCAGCAGAACCTCTCAGGAGCCTTCCTCCCCTCCCACAGCTGCGCGGAAAGCTCCAGCTTACTGTCGTCACGTTCAGGGTGGCCGATGGCCATTTCATAGATTCTGTTATTTTTATTATTTTTATTCATCAAGTGATTGTTTGGGGTTCGGGAGGCAGCAGAGTGTGAAGACGGGGGGCGCCAGGCCGGGTGCCCTGGGGCCTGACTTTCACCTCCCTCTGGCGGTCTGGAGGCGCAGCCGCCTCTGGGACCGCGGGCGCATCTTGGGTCCCGTGGCTGGTTTGGGGCTTCAGTCTTTAGTGGCGGGGCTGTTGGGGCTTCGGGGCCGTGGCCCCGCGGCCACAGCTCATCCTCTGGATGTGACAAGAGCCTCTCACCTGGCACCTTAAACATGGTGTGGCACACACGGCAAATGTTGTTATCCGGAACATACAGTTCCCGAGATTTCTAGAATCTAGACGACCTGGCGCCCAGAAAGGGTTGGCTTTTGGCTAGTCCCATTCGCAGTGCAGCACGCTGGTCCTTCTAGAATGTTCCTTTGCATTGTGCTGGAAGGTGACTGCTGACGCAGCCCTTCCCCCATGCCAGGTGGCTGAAGGACCTGGCTGAGCTCATGCACCGGCGGGTGAAGCTGCTGGGGGACTGCCTGCTGTGTGCCGCCTTCCTGAGCTATGAAGGCGCCTTCACCTGGGAGTTCCGTGACGAGATGGTCAACCAGGTGTGGCAGGCGGACATCCTGAAGCGGGAGATTCCCCTGAGCCAGCCCTTTCGACTGGAAAGCCTGCTCACGGATGACGTCGAGATCAGCAGGTGCGTGCGCCACCCTGAGCCAGGAGGATGGGGGCGCTGCGGGGCACGGCTGGAGCACAGTGGAGCTGACCACAGAGGTGGGGGAGTGGGTGGGGTCCCTGCAAAGCCGTGACTCTGAAGAGGGCCGAGCGGTCGCAGCCTGGTCGGCAGTTCTGGAAGGTGATCCTTCCACCTTTCGTGTTTGGTTCACATCTGGGCAAGAAGAACCGGTTTCCTCGGGGCTGTGTCTTCCAGGTGGGGCTCCCAGGGGCTGCCCCCCGATGAGCTCTCGGTGCAGAACGGCATCCTCACCACCCGGGCCAGCCGCTTCCCGCTCTGCATCGACCCCCAGCAGCAGGCGCTCAGCTGGATAAAGAGAAAGGAGGAGAAGAACAACCTGCGGGTAGGCCGGCTCCCCGGCGTCCGGGGCTGTCTGGCCTCCTCCTCCCCAGCTGCGCGGCTCCGGCAGTGCCGCCCGCCTGCCCAGCTCCCCGCTCAGCGCGGGCGCCCTTGGATTCTCTCCTTGCTTGGGCGCTCAGGTTGGGGCCACTTGAAGGTCAAGGTCACGCTTTGCTCCTCTCTGTGACCCTGACCAGACTGTGTCCTTAGACGCACTGTCAGTTCTCCCTGAAACCTACATCATGTTATAAACCCATGTTACCACCGCACAGATTTTATTTTTATTAAAAAAAGAAAAGGGAAAACAGTAAACCAAAAGCTTTCGTGGAGCGGGTTGAGACCCTGGCCTGTGGGAGCTGTAACCAAGTTCTCTCACGACTTCCTGTGGCTGCTGAAGTTCACTTTTGAGTGAGAGGCTGTTCGGAGCCAGGGCGGTGTTGACTTCTGGGTTTCCTTGGGGTGCAGGCCCTGCTGTGCTCCCTGTCTCCCCGCCCCCCCCATCTCCCTCTGCGGTGCTGACATGGCCAGGGCGCAGTGGAGGGGCCGACCCTCAGCCCCAGCCTCCCCCTTGCAGGTGGCTTCCTTCAACGACCCCGACTTCCTCAAGCAGCTGGAGATGGCCATCAAGTACGGGACCCCCTTCCTGTTCCACGACGTGGACGAGTACATCGACCCTGTGATCGACAACGTCCTGGAAAAGAACATAAAGGTCTCCCAGGGGCGGCAGTTCATCATCCTGGGGGACAAGGAAGTGGACTACGACTCGAACTTCAGGCTCTACCTGAACACCAAGCTGGCCAACCCCAGATACTCGCCGTCTGTGTTCGGGAAGGCCATGGTGATCAATTACACGGGTGAGGGCGCGTGGGGCCCCGGCCACGCATCGGGGCAGTGGCCTCGGAGACCTCGGTGGAGATGGAGGCCCTTCGTGGCATGCCCCAGGGCCGTCCTTCACCGTCACCTCCTGGCTGCCTCGTTCTTAATGGCGAAGCCACCCCCGGGGGGCTTGGAGTTCCTTCGGGCGGTCACAAGCCCTGAGGTGTGTGGCCTCTGACCGGGGGCTCAGAGGCTCCCCCCGAGCGGGCAGGCAGTCACCTGCCATTTGGGTATCTAGATGCGCGTCCTGCCTTGGGCTCCCCTCCCCCGTTGGCCGCGCCTTCCCGGAGGGGACATCTGGCTTCGTGCCACCTTGGCTAGGTCTGGGTTTGCTGCGACTGGGCCCCGGCTGCGGGAGCCCTGGGCTTTATTTTCATCTTCGCTCTTTTCATCCCGCGTCTGGGGGGTTCCCTTTGCTCAGTGTTTCTCACCTCCTGGCTGCGAAGTGATTTTGGCAGGAAGACGGAGGCTTGTGTCCCCGCAGCGGGGCTGGGGAGGCCCACAGCTGGGCGGGCGAGGAGACACGGGACCCGCCTGTGGGGGCATGGCAGTGAGACGCCCACCCCCCCAGTCACGCTGAAAGGCCTGGAGGACCAACTGCTGAGCGTGCTGGTGGCCTACGAGAGGCGAGAGCTGGAGGAGCAGCGGGAGCACCTCATCCAGGAGACGAGCGAGAACAAGAATCTGCTGAAGGACCTGGAGGACTCTCTCCTCCGGGAGCTGGCCACCTCCACGGGGAACATGCTGGACAACGTGGAGCTGGTGCATACGCTGGAGGAGACCAAGTCCAAGGCCATGGAGGTACGGGGGCTGGGGGACGGGCACCGAGCTGGCAGGGGGCTTGCCTTGGAGTGTTGCGCTCCAGGCCTGGTCACGGAGGGCGTCGGGCTTCGTGCTCCCAGGACCCACGCGTGCTGTGGGCCTCGGGCGCTGAGGGGCTGGGTGGGGCTGACATCAGACTTGGGCTTTGGGTCGTCTGAGGGTTTGCCTGATGGGAAAAGGCTGATCTCTTGGGGTTGCTATGGGCAAAGGCGTCCGAAAGGTGTTCCCAGGGCCCCTGGTGCGTTAGGCGAGCCTCTGCAGTGGAGGGTGATGGAAAACTGAACCTGGCTTGCAGGTCAAAAGGGAATTTATCGACTTAGAGAACAGGCAGGGCTGGACCCAGGACTCCAAACACACCATCGGGACCGGTGGGGCCTCCTGCCAGTCGGCTCCCTGCTCTGCCCCCACATGGAGCCAGGCTCCCCGCGGCCACAGGGTGGGTGGACCTGGCCCCAGACCCGCCCAGCTTCCAGGTCTGAAGGGAAGTGTCCTGCCCCCATCAGGAAGGTCCTGAGAGTCCCAGGTTTACCCTGCGGTCTGGGATGCCGTGCGTGGACTGGGTGAGGCTGGTCTCCACTCCTCTCCTGGAGTTGGGGTAAGGCCTCATCAAGGGAGTGAAGGGGGAAGTTGTGAGCACCCAAGCAGAAGTTGGGACTGTGGTTAGAAAAGGGGGGCTGGGTTCAGGGGCGCCAAGCCACCACGCCCACCAGATCTCACGAGATGGGGAGTCCCCTGCTGCCCCTTGTCACTTTCAACCCCCTGTGAGCTTTGCAGGGACTTTGCTGCCCCTTCCCACCCCCACCCTTGGCCCCGCTTTCTCATGCACAAGTCTTCCCGGTAGGGGTTAGTTCTCCCCGTTTCCACGGCCAAAGGCCCGTTTCTCTTAGGTCACAGAGAAACTCAAGCTGGCGGAGAAGACGGCGCTGGACATCGACAGGCTGCGGGACGGCTACCGGCCGGCTGCCAGGAGAGGCGCCATCCTGTTCTTCGTGCTGTCGGAGATGGCACTGGTGAACGCCATGTACCAGTACTCCCTGGCCGCCTTCCTCGACGTCTTCGGCTTGTCGCTCAAGAAGTCCCTGCCGGATTCCATTCTCATGAAGCGCCTGAAGAACATCATGGACACGCTGACTTTCAACATCTACAACTACGGTTGTACAGGTGAGTGCCTGGTCCCTGCAGTCCAGACAGGTGTGCCGGACAGGTGTGCAGGGAGGTGTGCAGGACAGCTGTGCTGGACAGGTGTGCAGGGTAGGTGTGTAGGACACGTTCGCAGGGTGCAGCTGTGGAGAAACCTGGTCTTTGAAAATGGAAACACACCAAGCAGCGTCTATGCCTGTGACTGTTGGCACAAGAGGACTTTGTTCAAACAATAGCTCTGTGGGGATATATAATTCACACAGCAGACAATTCACCCTTTAAACACGTGCAGAACTCCGTGTCCTCACGGAGTTGTGTGGCCAGCACCACTCTCTGGTTCCAGAACATTCTCACCTGCCCATAAAACAAAAGCCACACCTCTTAGCCGTTGCGCTCCATTCCCTCTGCTCCCGACGCCTCGCAGCCACTCACCAGCTGGAGGGAGACCGGCCGTTTGGGAGCGGAGGGGCGTGTGCCTGCAGGCTGCCCCCATCCAGGCTGCCAGTAGAGCCGTGTTCTTTGTGTTCAGGTGTTCACGGGTGTCGAACGCCAACAGGGCCAACGAAGCTCGAATGCGTGGTTGGGGGTTGCATTTCATCTCTCATCCATGAAGCTCGCCGTGTGTAAGAAACTCAGGTTTTAAACGGATTTACTTGCTCAAAACCCATCTGCTTGTCTCCCTGCAGGGCTGTTTGAGAAGCACAAGTTACTCTTTTCTTTCAATATGACTATTAAAATCGAACAAGCGGAAGGCAGAGTCCCCCAGGAAGAATTAGATTTCTTTTTGAAAGGTAATGGATTTGCCTCGTTTCCTCCCTCCCAGCTCCCCCGGCCCACGCGGCGCGTGCGTGGGGTCTGCTCGGGAAAGCAAGCGACGGACGCTCTTGAGACTTGGTTCCCGCCCGCCTGGCGGTGGCGGCCTGAGGCAGAGCCGCTCAGCAGCTGCCGGAGGCTGGGGGCCACGAGGACCTCGGGTGGGGTGGGGGTGCCGCGTCGTCGTCTCTGCCCCTCCCCGTCTTCGAGGGCGGCGACCCCCAGAGCGAGAGGTCGAAGCGCGAGCTGCGTGTCCCGACGGCTCCTCTCCTGTCACCATTAGGAAACATTTCCCTGGAGAAGAGCAAACAAAAAAAGCCCTGCGCGTGGCTGTCCGACCAGGGGTGGGAAGACATCATTCTTCTATCAAAACTGTTCTCGGCCACCTTTGGGACTCTCCCTAGCGATGTCGAGAACCACCTGTCTGTCTGGCAGGAGGTGAGGCCCTGTCCTCTCCCCTCCCCCTTCCCTCGTGTGAGTCACCGTGGGACGTAAGCTCAGTGACCCTGTGAGCAGGAAGACACTCCTTTGAGCAGTCACTCAGCATGTGATCAGTGCCCCCCACTCCCGGGATGTGGCGTCCTGCATCGCGTTCAGCTCGCTTCGTGGGAGACTGTAACTGCCCGTCGGTCCTTCTGTCCATCCAGCATTTACCCAGCATCCATCCAGCCGCCCCATCCCACCCAGTCATCAGGCCATCTGCCTGCCCGTGCCTTCACCTGTTCACACACCTGTTCGTCTGTCCCTCTGACCCCCCATCCGCCCATCATCCGCCCATCATCCGCCCTTCATCCGCCCACCCAAAGACAATTTATTCAGTCTCCAGCATGGACCATACCCTTTGGTGGACACTGGGGACTCAGCAGTCTCTAAGGCTCAGCCCCTTCCTTCTTGAAGGTCACAGTTTTGGGGGGTGGGAAAACGACAGTGATGACTAGAAGTGACTTTGAGGTTCACGGTGCTGTCGTCCTCACCCCCTTCTCCTGGCCCGTGGGAGGGTCCGCTTCCCAGCCGACGCGGCGTGTTCTCTGCTCCCCAGTGGTATGACCTGGATTGGCTCGAGCAGGCCCCGTTCCCCCTGGGCTACGACGACAACATCACCCCTTTCCAGAAGTTGCTGATTCTGCGCTGTTTCCGCGTGGACCGGGTATACCGGGCGGTGACCGACTACGTGACCGTGATCATGGGGGAGAAGTAAGCATGCCCCACTCGCTCCCGAGCCTGGGGGCTGCCCGGCCCCGCCCGCCGTTCTCCCCAGCGCTGCTGCAGCCCGGCGGCTCCGGCCCGGGGAGGGTGAGCGCAGCTTTTCCAGGAGTCACGTCAGAAAGAAGCAGGCGAAGTCAGTTTTGTTTTCTCTAACTCGGGACACTGACATTTAATGTCAACACGTCAGCGATGTAAGTGAGCTCTCCCGCACGCCCGGTACTGGGTCTTGAACATCCGGCCTGCGTTCAGCCACGCTTCCAGCGCCCGCGAGCCGCGCTGCCATAGCTGCCCCGCAGGCGACCAGTTCCAAGCCAGGGGCAAAGCAGACAGAGAGCGGGGACTGCGGGCCGGCAGGGGATGGGCGTGGGCCAGGCCGGGTGGGGGCCCGGCCCCTCAGCTGCCCCTCAGCTCCTGGGGCCCGATGCCAGGGATCAGTGGGGACCCAGCTGGGCCAGACCCTCTGCTATAAATTCGGGTTTCTGCAGGAAAACTCCCCTTCCTTATATGTCGGCGACTAGTTTTAGAAAACCTCGAGATGTGGATCATTTGGGATGTCCATGAGGCTCTTGAGGTGGAGCCTCTGGGCTCTGTGCCAATGGGGTATCCCCCGGAAGGCCAGAGTGGGGGCCCCTGCAGGATGCCACCGACTCAGCATGGCTCCACCAGAGGCACCGTGGAGGTACCCTGAGCTGTGCGGGGGCCGGGGACTCGGGCCCGGGAGTTCGTCATCCAGCGCCAGATGTGCCGGGAGCTGTGCTGTGCTCTGGGCTCTGGGAGGAGACCCTGCCCCGGCCTGACTCTCTTCCCAGGAGTCACCCCACTGGGCTGCTTTCCCCAGGTACGTGCAGCCCCCGGTGATCAGCTTTGAGGCCATCTTTGAGCAGAGCACCCCGAACTCGCCCATTGTGTTTATCCTGAGCCCTGGCTCCGACCCTGCCAGTGACCTGATGAAGTTAGCCGAGCGGAGTGGTTTTGGAGGAAACCGCCTCAAATTCCTGGCCATGGGTCAAGGTCAAGAAAAAGTAAGTTGTTGGGAGGAACAACCTGTAAACTGAGGCGAGGCCCCGGGCGCCGTAGGACTGAGCCAGCGTCTGGTTTGAAGCGGAGCGTGCATCCATGCCCAGCCCGCTGCCCTGCGTCTCGGGCGGGCGGCAAGTGGCCCCAGAGCTGAGCCGAGGCGGCGGAGGGGCAGGCCTCTCCCAGCCTGGCGGGACCGTCGCGTCCGGGTTTGGAAGTCCCTGCGCACCTCCCCTCGGGGCTCTCTCTCCTTTGGGCCCGGCCCCCTTAGCGCTGGCCACAGGCCTCCCCCACGCGGGTCTCGTGCACGCGTCCGGGCCAGAGGGAGCCGCTGTGGTCCTGGCTCGGCGTGAGCTGCCCTGTGCGGTGGGCAGAGCCCAGACTGAGGGCCCAGCGGCAAAGCCAAGGGCACCAGCAGGGGGGCCCGGCTCTCGGGCCACAAAATGGAAAGCAGCTGTTCTAACGCTGGCGTTGAGTGAGTTTTCAGTCTTTTCAACACCCCTGGGTTCTAGGGGTGTCTAGCTTGTTTTTACTATGACCTGTGCAGACTCTGGGGCTTCTGGCGTCCAGACTGGACCTCAGCCCTGGCAGGTTTAGCGGATCGTGCAGCGTAGCTGGGCGGGGGCAGCGCGGCCGTCGCAGAAGGTGGTCCCTGAGCACACGGTGCCCCTCACCTTCCGGGCGGGAGCAGACCCAGCAGTGGCCTGCTGGGCTCTAAAGAAGTCTTTCTTTGGGGTGCCCTCTGTGGCTCCTGGATCACCAGCTCGCCGGGGAGCCCCGCGAGAGGATCGCCGTTCCCTGTGAAGGGGCCCGAGTGGGTCTCTGGGAGAGGGGCTGGCGGCTCCGGGACCGACTGCCCCCTCTCTCCCCTCGGTGCAGCTGGCCCTGCAGCTGCTGGAGACGGCAGTGGCTCGCGGCCAGTGGCTGATGCTGCAGAACTGCCACCTCCTGGTCCGGTGGCTCAAGGATCTGGAGAAGTCCCTGGAGCGCATCACCAAGCCTCACCCCGACTTCCGCCTGTGGCTCACCACCGACCCCACCAAGGGCTTCCCCATTGGCATCCTGCAGAAGTCCTTGAAGGTCTGGCTCAGGGCCCCGCCTGGCTCTGCCGCGGGGCTCTCCGCTCCCCGCCGTGCCTACGATCCCCCCGCGGGGCCGCCAGGGCCTCGGGGACACCCTCCCTCAGTGTCACATCTCCCACCCTCTTCGGGGAGGGTGCTGTGCAGAGTGGGGGCGCCCCTCTACCGCCCCTGCGTACCTAGACTTTATGTGTAGCCGGAGCAGCTGCCAGGCCTGCTCCCCACCACGGCGAGGCCCCCGTGTCCCTGCAGAGCGGCGGGCGCGTGCGTGGAAGCTCACCGTGGCTTCACGCCCCCCTGGATTTATCCTCCGAGATTTTTGGGGACAGGTGTTGTCATCTCTCCCCGAGTCTGGGGCAGGCGGAGGGAAAACGTGGCTTTCAATTCACTCCAAAGACCCCAAGGTTCAGGGAACTTCTCGCCGTCACTTAGGAGCAAGCTCGGGCCGGGACAGCAGCTGCCTCCCTCCCCTTCCCGGGGCCCGGAGCGGCTGCATGAAGAAGAGGGAACAGTCCCGAGGGGCTGCTCTCCAGAGCTGCGCCCCCCCCCCCCACTGTCTCCTCCCCGGACAGGTGGTCACGGAGCCACCCAACGGGCTGAAGCTCAACATGAGGGCGACTTACTTCAAGATCTCTGAGGAAATGCTGGGCCAGTGTCCCCACCCGGCCTTCAGGCCCCTGGTGTACGTGCTGGCCTTCTTCCACGCCGTGGTGCTGGAGAGGAGGAAGTTCGGCAAGATCGGCTGGAACGTCTACTACGACTTCAACGAGTCCGACTTCCAGGTGGGGCCGCTCCCTCCGCCGCGCTTTCTCCCGGGTTCACGGCGCGAGTCCCGGGCAGGTGTCGGGACGCGCGTGGGGAAGGGAACGGCCCTGCGGGCAGGGGTGCCGACCCCCCCGCCCCTGCCCACCCCTGCCTCCAGGTCTGCATGGAGATTCTGAACACGTACCTGACAAAGGCCTTCCAGCAGCACGACCCCCGGATCCCGTGGGGCAGCCTCAAGTACCTCATTGGGGAGGTAGGAGGGTCTGGGGGCCCTTTCGCCAGCCGCCCCCGAGCCGGAGCTGGGCTGTGGCCTGGCGCCCGTCACCTTCACCCCCGGGCTCTGCAACATCCTCCTGGCACCTCAGCCGGACGGAGTTTGTGCAGAGAGCGCGTTTGCCTACAGGCCCCGATTGGCGGCCCTGGGGCCCGTGCGCTCGGGGCGGGCAGGACAGGCCAGTGGCCCGGGGCGCAGCAGGCCGGTGGGTGAGGCGGTGCGCGCTGGAGACCGTGGCTTTATGCCCGGCTCTGGGTGGCTCCCCCGGTGATGCCCCGAGTCCAACGCCGCTTCCTCGCTCGCTCGTGTCATTGTCCGCGTCCCTGCTGGAGCCGAGGGGGCAGCCTGGCTCCCGGCGCTCCCCCCGGGCTGCCCACCACCGGCTCCGGGCCCAGCGCAGCAGCCCTCTGCAGCCCCCGGCCTGCGGCTCTGTGGGCGGAGGAGGGCGCGGGCTCCGGGCCGGGGCGGCTCTCACTCGCGGCCGCTGCAGGTCATGTATGGAGGACGGGCCATCGACAGCTTCGACCGGCGCATCCTGACCGTGTACATGGACGAGTACCTGGGAGACTTCATCTTCGACACTTTCCAGCCCTTCCACTTCTTCCGCAACAAGGAGGTGGACTACAGGATCCCCGTGGGCGACCTGAAGGAGAAGTTCGTGGGTGAGACCCAGACGTCAGGAAGTGCTTCTCAAGGCTTGTTCTTCTTCTGTTGCCCGTGGGGGGCTTCCTGGTTCCCGGGCCTCTCCAGGAGGGGGCCCCTGGGGGTGGCAGGGCCTGTGAGCCTTTGGGGGACCCAGGGGCTCTTCCTCACCTGGAGCTGACGCGTGGCTCAGGCTGCCTGTCCTGGCTGCTGGCCAATCCCCGGCTGGGCCTCGGCGGGCAGAGGGACCCTGAAGCCCACCAGCCGCTTTCATGAAGGGGCACACGGCTGGGTGAGCCGCGGGGGAGGGGCTCATTAATCACCCCGCTTGGTGGTGGGAATTAGCCTCGCGTGTCTGGGGTTTCGAGGCCCCTCAGACATCCAGGGGTGCGGCCGTGTCCCCCGCTCTCCCATCACAGAGGCCATTGAGGCGCTCCCGCTGGCCAACACGCCCGAGGTGTTCGGGCTGCACTCCAACGCCGAGATCGGCTACTACACGCAGGCCGCACGGGACATGTGGGCGCACCTGCTGGAGCTGCAGCCGCAGACAGGTGAGCCCCGGACAGTCTGGTGGGGCTGGAGGGGGGCCCCCGAACACCGCCGCCGGCTCGGGCAGCTCCCCCGCTTGGCCCACCCCAGCCCCGCATGCGGCGCCTGCCCGGCTTCTCTGAAAAGGGCCCTGGTTGTAGGGGAGAGCAGCAGCGGCATCAGCCGTGACGACTACATCGGCCAGGTGGCCAAGGACATAGAGAACAAGATTCCCAAGGTGTTCGACTTGGACCAGGTCAGGAAGGCCCTGGGGGCGGACGTGTCGCCCACGTCCGTGGTGCTGCTGCAGGAGCTGGAGCGCTTCAACAGGCTGGTGCTGCGCATGGCCCGCTCGCTGGCCGAGCTGCAGAGGGTGAGCCGTGCCCCGCCCCCTGCATCCCCCGTGCACCCCGTGCCCTGCGCCGCGGCTGGCTGCCCTCCCAGCCTGGCCTCCCCGACAGCCCTGCCTCCGCCCAGGCCCTGGCAGGAGAGGTGGGCATGAGCAGCGAGCTGGACGACGTGGCCAGGTCTCTCTTCCTCGGGCAAATCCCGAGCATCTGGAGAAAGCTCGCCCCGGACACCCTGAAGTCCCTTGGAAACTGGATGCTCTACTTCCAGCGGCGCTTCAGCCAGTACACGTCCTGGGTGAGTGGGCCTGGGTGAGTGGGAGGCCGCTCGCGGGGGCCGTCGCCCGCCGCTGCCCGCCGGAGCCTGCGTCTCCCTCGCTCTGGGTTTTCTTCCCAAGACCCAGAGTGTCACCCTGAGCGGCCGCCGCGCCCCGGGGGAGTCTTGTCTTGGCCACAGTCTGGCAGGCACCCCACCCTCCCCTCTAGGGGGTCACTTCACAGGCAGCCGCCTCCGTCCCCGTGGGGGTGGGCAGGAGGCACCTCCCGGGCAGGCTCTTCCCCCGGGCACCTCGGGTCTGGGGCTGGGATGTGCGTGTGGGAGCCAGGGCCGCCCAGCCCCCGCGGTGTGTCAGCGCTGGGTCTCTGGGGCCTGGCGCTGGCGGGCTTTCTCCTGGCGAGCCCGGAGATTTCATGCCCTGCAGACATTTCTCGCTTCTTCCTCTGGGAACTGTCCTTCTGCATCCTGATTTGTTTCTATCGAGTTCTCCATCTTTTCAAACTGATCCTTGGCAGCCCCCCTCCCCCGGGCCTGCGCAGGCGTCTCTTCACCCACCTGCCCCCTTGGCACAGCCGCGCCAGCTCCCCCCCACCCCGGGCCGTCCGCCGGGCCTGCGCAGGCCGTAAGCAAACCCGGCCCTTTCCACGGCAGCTCTCCTGCCCGCAAGGTCTGTGCGAGCGACCTCCCTTCTTTTTATAATAAACCTACCCTTTCGGATACTTAAAAACAAAAACAAAAAACCAAAGCCCAAAACTCGGATCCGTGGAGCCCTCTGAATGTGGAGGCGTGGCCTCCGGGGCCCGCGCGGCTGCCTCCTCCTGGCGGTCCTCAGCCTTCGCCGTGCGGCACCTCTTCCCACCCCCGAGGGCTGTTTTCATGTGGTCGTTTCCCTGAGTCTCGTGTTTCGTGACTTCTGGGCTCGGTGCTCCCCGCGCCAAGCCTGGGAAGATGTCTCTGGAGATCTGCCGTGGTGGTTGGCTGGCGTCACCTTTGCAGCCACACCCGCTTCGCCCCCCGGGGTTTGACGGTCGGGGCGGCAGGCACAGCGCGGGGTCCCTCTCGATTCCCGCAGACGGGGGAGAGTCCAGGAGCCCTCGGTGGATTTTACAGGCTTTAGTGCTCTCAGGGAACCAGGCGCACAGGCAGGGGCAGGCAGGGGCAGGCAGGGAGGCGGGCACGGGCTGGGCAGGGGCGGGCATGGGCTGGGCAGGGGCAGGCAGGGGGGCGGGCACGGGCTGGGCAGGGGCAGGCAGGGGGGCGGGCACGGGCTGGGCAGGGGCAGGCAGGGAGGCCTCCGAGCCCCCCGCCCCTCCCCGCACCCATGCTCTTCCTCTGGGCTCCCTCTGGCGTCCTCTCGCCGTCCTGCCTCCCCCGCAGCCCCTTGCCCTTCGCGGCCGTCCTTACATCCCCGGGCTCCGGGCCCAGGTGTGCGCACTCAGGCTCGCCCACGCGCACGCTCCAGGTGTCCACACTCGGGCCCGCGGGCCCGCGCCCAGCCCCCGCGCCGCCGGCACCGACACGCTCGAGGCCGCGGGTGCGGGCCACGGAGGCCGGCGGCGCACCAAGCCCGGCCGGTCCATTTACCCTGCGACGGCCCAGCTGGCTTTTCCCACCGAGCCGTCCCTCGTCCCCTCGCGTCCCGCGGCCGCTGCGACTCTGCCCCCGAGCTCAGCCCCGGCCTGCTCTGACCCCGGGGCCTCCTCCTCCAGGTCAGCGACAGCGAGCCCGGCGTGATGTGGCTCTCGGGGCTGCACGTCCCGGAGTCCTACCTCACGGCCCTGGTGCAGGCCACCTGCCGGAGGAACGGCTGGCCGCTGGACCACTCCACCCTGTTCACGCAGGTCACCAGGTTCCAGGGCGCTGATGAAGTGAACGAGCGGGCAGGCCAAGGTACCCACGGCGCTGGGGCGGGCGAGGACGGGCAGTGGGTGAGGGCGGGCGCGGGCGGGCCAAGGAGCCCGCGCGGGGGCGAGGGCCGGGCGGTGCCGAGAGCGGGCAGGCGCGGGCCCTGGGCTGGGGTCTCGGCGTCCCCGAGGGAGCAACATGTTCTCGCAGCTTCTCCCTGGAGCCCGGTTTGACGCCCCATCTACCCGGCCGGCTGGCGGGGAAACGGGCTGCGGCTCAGAATTACTTAGATCTCCCAAAGAACCGGTCTCTGGAGGGGTTCCCCGGAGACTTGGGGAGCGCGGGGTCATGGAGCCCGAGAGTGGGCGGGGTGGGCACAACCACTAGCTCTGCTGGCACGCGGGGCCCTCAGGCCGCGGTGACCGGCTCCGCGCGTGGTGGCTGGAGAGCGAACGTCACCGCAGGCCACAAGGCCCGGGCTGGGGGGGGGGTGCGGGGGGCGTCTGAGCGGGCGCGCTCCTCGCGGTGGATGGCCGCTGGGGGCGGGTGCCCCTGTCCCAGCCAGCCCATCCTCCTCCTGCTCCCCGTGCGGCTGCCATGTCCTCCTCCCCAGAGGCCGCTTTCCAGCCAGGCTTGGACGTCCGGCTCCCAGTCTGCGGGCTGGGGGTGTTTTGGTGGGGCCGGGGAGGTGGGGTGGCCATGGTGACCGCTGGCGCTGGCGTCACCTCTTTATGGCCTCGGAGGCCCAAAGTGGTCTGCTCTGTCGCCCTGATGCCCGCTGCAGGGGAGGCGAGAACCGTCCACTTCGTGTGGCCAGGGGACGGTCTCGGGATCTGTGGATAAAGGCCTGGGCTGTGCCTGCGCTGGGGGTGGAGGCCCCCCTCTTGTGTGCCCAAGGGGAGGTGGCACAGCCGCAGGCAGAGCCCGGGTCGGTCTCTCCTGCCCCCCTCCAGGATGCTTTGTCTCGGGGCTGTATCTGGAGGGCGCCGACTGGGACCTCGAGCGGGGCTGTCTGGTCAGGAGCAAGCCCAAGGTGCTGGTGGTGGACCTGCCCGTCCTGAAGATCATCCCCATCGAGGCCCATCGCCTCAAGCTGCAGGTGGGCGCCCTGCCCCGCCCCAGCCATCTGCTGGCCCTGAGCGCTTCCTGGGCAGGAAGGCGCCCTTGAGGGGACAGCAGGGCTGGCGGGGGACATGGGCGCCTGCGTGTCTGTGGGGACCTGGCAGGCAGCTCAGGTGCACGTTCGGAAGCCGCCGTCCGGACCAGCCTCAGCTTCGCTCTTGTGAAACGCTGTGGTTTCTCTCGAGTCACGGTGTGGTTAGATGTGGGGTGCACGGTGGGCGCCTCCCGCTAGGCCCAGCCCGGCCCGCCTGCGAATGTCTTACCTGGGCTGTGCCTGGAGGGGGGGACCCGCAGCCCTGGCGCCTGCGGGCCCCTCACACGCTCTTCCTCTGCAGAACACGCTGCGGACACCCGTCTACACCACCTCCACCAGGAGGAACGCCATGGGTGTTGGGCTGGTGTTTGAGGCTGATCTCTTCACCACAAAGCACATTTCCCACTGGGTGCTGCAAGGGGTGTGCCTCACCCTGAATTCTGACTAGCCCCGTGCGCCCCCAGCCCTGCACCCGTGTCCTGAGACCCCGGCCCTGAGTCCCGGGCCGACGCCCACGTGTGGGCAATCAGCCATTTTAATGCCTTTTCGGAGAAATTACCTGGATTTTTGTAAAAACTATTTTTTTTTTTTTAGAATTCTGTATATTTGCAAAGTAAATCCCGGCGAGCATTTTAAGACGTGTCGAGTTCTCTTTCCTTCCCAGAGGAAAACGCCGGACCCAGCAGTGCCTGCCCGGCCTGCCCGGCCCAGAGCGGGTTCCGACGCCAGCCTGCAGAGGGCGCTGTGCACAGCCCAGTCTGTCAGCTGCGCGCTCTGCAGGAGCTGCCCGGCAGGGCGGGGGCAGAAGGCAGGGCCGAGCCCCCCGCCCTGGGTTGCCGGTGCCGGTGCCGGGCAGTCACACGTGGCCACTCCTCCCCGTTCAGAACACTCTGGGTCGGCCCCTTTGACTCTGGCCGGCGTGTGGGTGAGGCCGTGGAGCCGAGACGGCTCCTACCTGCAGCCTGCGCGGGGCTGCGTGGGGCTGGGTGCGGACCTAAAGCCTCCGGCAGCGCCCAGGTGCCCTTTCCGTCTGTGCGCCGCGGGGCTAGCGGGGCCCTGGGGCTAGCCTGGGGCAAGGCGTGGCTCCCTCTAGGGGAGAACAGGGGTGAACTTAGGTCACGAGGGGGGGCTGGCCACAGGCAGCAGCAGCATTTGCCGGGTTCTCAGCAGGGAAGAGGAGTGTGTGTGTGGGGGGGGGATGGCTCTGGGCAGGGAGGTAACAGGCCTCCTCTTTCTGGACGGCCCCGGGACGGGCCCTGGGGAGCAGGCACCTGGGTGCGAGCAGGGTAGTTGCTGGGGGTGAGGCGCGCTCTCCCCTCCACGACCTCCTCCCCGCCCGTCCCTCCACACGGCTCAATAAAAGACACAAGGCAGAAAGAAGGCGGGTTTAGAAAATAAAGTTTGTTGGGATCTTGAACATTTTGGATCAAACTAATAAAAAAAAAACCACAGCAACTATGGACACACTCAGGCGGTGGCGTGCGGAGTGACGTCATCCTATGTAGTTCCTGGGACGCGCGTGCAGCCGCTCGGAGCCGGGCGCCCTGGGGAGCCGGGGCGCCCCCAGACCCCGGGGTCAGGTCACGGTCGGTGTGTGTTGCTGGACTCGACAACTGGGCGGCGGCGGGTGGCGGGGGCCGGGAAACCAGCGGGGCTCGCGGGGCTGGGCCGCGGCGCGGAGTGGATGGGGCTCTGCGGGGGCGCGCGGCGAGGAGAGGCGTCTGTGGACGGGCCTGAAAACAGCTTTGGCATGCACGGGCGACGGGGCGGCGCGGGGGGCTCCTCGGTGGTCACAGTGCGCGGCGGTCACACAGTTCTGTCCGTCCCTGAGTGCTTCCTCGCCACCTTGCCGCCGTTCACCTGGTCCACGGCCAGCGTCTCCACCTCGGCCGGCGCGGGGGCCGGGGCCGCGTGGTGGATGCGGTGGGCCACCCCGACGTGGGCCTTGTGCGGCGGCTTCTCGCGGGCCGGGCCGGGCTGCTCGCTGGCGCCGCGGTCCGAGGCGATGGGGGGGATGACCAGGGGCCGCTCCTTGATGAGGTGGACTTCGGCGGACTCCCTGGCCAGCAGGAACGGGGTGGGGTCGGGCATGGCCTCCACCGGCTCCCGCAGGAGGAGTTTCCGGCCCTCGGCCCCAAATCGGTAGACCTCCTCAAATTCCGGGTGCAGGGGGGCCGAGAGGCTCTTTTTCATCCGGCGGCGGGGCGTTTCGGGCAGCTTGTCCTTGGGGGGCGCCGGCTTGTAGCTGGCCAGCACGGGGCTGCCGGACGGGCTGCTGTCAGACGTCCCGCTGGCGCTCGCGAGCTTCTTCTTGGCGGCGTGCAGCTGCGCGGTCAGGTAGGCCACGGCGCCGGCCCGCTGCTCCAGCTCGCCGGACAGCAGGTTCAGCTTGTGGCTCTTCGCCTTGAGCTCCTCCAGGTACTTCTTCTCGCGCTCCCGGGCGGTGCTCTCCAGCACGGCGATCGCCGCCTTCTTCTGCTCCAGCGTCTGCAGCAGCTCGCTGTTCTCCGTCTCTTTGCATTTCAGCTGAGCTTCCAGGTCCTCGCACCTTTTCTTGAGTTCGCTGCTTCTAGAAGACCCGTCTCCTACGAGACAAGCAGAGGGAGGGCTCAGGGGCCCCGGCGGAGCAGGGAGGCTGCTGGGGGCCCTGCGGAGGCCGCCCGGTGCCACTGAGGGGGAGCTGCGGGGAGGGGGTGGCCGAGCTCTGCCCGGCCCCACGCCCCGAGGTCCTCCCCGCTCAGCGAGGGGGATCGGTGGTGGGTCTGCGGGGCACCTTCCGGCTCGTAGTTCTCTGGCTCGTGGCAAAAACTGAACGTCTCCAGAGTTAAAAAATGCTGAAGCTCCAACGGGCACCTTGCAGTGGCTCGGGCTGGACCGTGGCGGGGCCGGCGTGCGGCCGCGGTGCCCGGCGTGGGGGCCGCACGGGGAACAGATTCTCAGCATCTCAAGCCGCGAGGCCTGACACAGTCCCTCGTCTCACTCGGGGGGGTGGGGGGGACTTGCCCTCGCCCCCCAACCCCCTCCCCACTCGGCCACTCTGCTGCCCTGTCCCACGTCGGCCCCCAGCGAGGTGGGCGCTGCTCCCCTCCACCTGAGGGCCCAGCTCTGGCGCCTCTCCTGGCTCCCCGCGTCACACACGGGCCTGCTCAGGCCCTGGGCCCCTCCCGGCTCCCTGGCTGGCTGTCGTCCTCGCCTGGTCTCGAGAGCCGGGAGCTGCCCGCGTCTCTCTGGACTCTGCCCTGCTGGTCTGGAACCCACCTGGGGTGGCTCCCGAGGGTCAGCCCTGCGGGTGATGTCCGCACACACGGCCCTCAAGGCTGGCTAGCTCTGCCCCCCTTCTTTGTTCCCCAACTCGACCGAGTCTAGACGCGTCACAGCCGTGGGGGGGCGGGTGAAGGTCGCTGACTGGAGGGGACTCCCTGGAGGCCCAGCTCCTGGCCGGGCTGTGGAGGAGGCACCGGAGTCCTTTCCCCACAGCGAGACCCCAGGGGGCTCCTTACCACCCCCACCTCCCACACTCTGCTGCTGAGGGGCACTCGGGAGACGGCGACTGAGGATGGAGGGGAGCGGAGCCCTCAGGCTTGGTGACGCGTGTCAGGGGCCGTGGCTGGCCTGTCCCCGCAAGGGCCGACACGCTCGTGACAGGTGCCACCGTGGCCCTGTGAGACAAACGCCGGCCTGGGGTGTCCAAAGCCCGCCCTCTCTGGGGAGCAGCGGCCCAGCGCCCGTGACTCTCGCTGCTGTCCCAGCTGCCGCTACGCGGAAGGTCCTGTGGGCTCCCCCGAGGCCTGCGGGGCTCTGGTCAGGGGAGCCCTGATGGGGGCTGCGTCCTGGGGGGGGGGGCCCGGCCTCTCCTTTCTGGCCAGAGTCTCTGTGTCTTGGTCACAGAAGGAACACGCTCGTTGCAGAAAAGCCAGAAAGTCCCGCAAAGCACGTGACGGACATTCTGGACACACGTGTCACCCGAAAGCAGCCCCTCCTCCCGCCGCGGCCACGGTCCGCCCGGCTTCCTCTGGCCTGCGGGGAAGGCCCGTGGGCTTCTGGAGAAGCCTCCTTACCTGTCTGGTCTGCACTTTTGAGCGTCAGTTCATATGTTAAATCTAGAAAGGAAGCCATACGTTAATTCCGTTGGGCACCCCCGAACCTCCGAACCCCATCAGCTCCGCAGGTGCAGAGCTGAGGCCCAGGCGTGGCCTGAGTCCCACCCAGACGGTGCCGGCCGGGAGGCAACTGTGGCCCTATCTCCCCCCGGGGACACACCCCAACAACCCACAGCTGCTCTCCCCGTCCTGCAGGCCACGTCGTGGCCCCCCAACGCCTTGCAGATGGGCCCTGGCGCGCCGTGCCCCTGGAGGCCTGCAGTGACCCCTGCTTGGTGGCCGCCTTGCACGCAGGGCACCAGCGAAGACGGGGTGAGCCGCACGCCAGCACGGAGGAGGCCGCACCCGCCGGGAGCCCGGCTGCTACCTGTGCAGTGCTGCTGCAGCCGCCGGATCTCGGCGTGCAGCCCCTTGAGGGTGCTGGCGTGCTCCCGCTGGAGGAACAGGAGGTTCTTCTGCGCGCTGTGCAGCTGGTTCTCCAGGTTTGTGGCCGCCATGTTGACATCCAGATGACCTGCAGGGAACAGGTCCCGGTCACCCACCCCGACTGGGAGGGTCACTGGCTGCCGGGCGGGCAGGTGGGTGGGGAGAGGGCGCGGCGGCCGCAAAAGGCCTGGCTCTGCACAGAGGGGAACCTCAAGTCCAGGGCACCCGACTCTGCTGGACATCACAGACTGACCAAAAGGACTGAGGCCGTTTCACAGAGCGAGTGGAGCCCTACACCCACCCGGGGGCAGCCTCGCGGGCACAGGGCAGCAGGAGCCTGCAGGCCGCCCTCTGGCCCCTCACCTCCCGGGCTCTGCTCTCCGTGCCCGAGCCGGCTGGAAGGGCTGCTATCGAAAAGTCAAGTAACAGGAAGTGTTGGTGAGGATGTGGAGGAAGGATTCTTGCACACTGCGAGGCGGGCAGCATACTGGCCGAGCCTCTATGGGTAACTACGGAGACGCCTCAAAAAACTAAAAACAGAATGACTATATGATCCAGTCATCCCACTTCTATCTGCCTGAAGAGTGTATGAAAAATTTTTTGAAGATTTATTTATTTATGCATACAAGAGCTGGGGTACAGGCCAGAGGTACGGGGGTGAGAGGACTCACCAGAGACAGAGTGGGGAGCAGGACAGGCGGATCTACTGAAATCCACTGCTGAGGGGAGCAGCGGGGAGACAGGAGAGGTCTGCTGCGCGTGTGGGTTGCTCCCTGGCCGGGGATCGAACTCAGGCCTCAGAAGCAGAATAGCATAGAAGTGCTGAGACAACCCCTGTGACATCAGGGGGGCCCCAGAATATGAAAATGCTCATGGGAAAAGGTATCCGCAGCCGGTGCTCATGGCAGCGCTGTTCACAATAAGGAAACGAGCCAAGTGCCCAACAGCAGACGAGGGGGAGAGGATGTCCGGGCACGCAGCGCAGCCGGAGAAGGCAACACCTCGCCCTCCGAGACAGCATGGGCGGGACCAGAGGGGATGGCGCCAGGTGACGTAAAGGAGAAGCAGGAGACAAGTGCGCCGCGCGCTCACTCGTGTGGAATACGAAGAAGCGAGCAAATGAATGAAACCCAAACCAAGCCTTAGAGTCGGACTGGAGACGGGGCGGCCTTTCTCCTGCCCGGGCTGCTCTGGACGCTCCCCAGTTCCAGCCGCCCTGCTCTCCCGAGCCAAGGTCCACCTCCCCCCAGGAACCCTCTGCCTGTGCCCGGAGCCTGGACCAGCGGCCTGCGTTGTTGGTCTGCGCTAAGCCAGGCCCCGAGGCCCTCTGCCCTCTGTGCATGTGGCACCAGGCCTTGCCCAAACTTCAAAACCAGTTTCGACCTGCAAAGTCACACAGATCGAGGCCCAGACACAGAAATAAGTACGTGCTACTGGGTCCTCCGCGGGGGCAGGGCAGAAGGAAAGAGGGGGCTTCGCTGCCCCCCCATTCCAATGGTCATGTAGCCTTACATTTCACTTGTGACAAATTTAAATGACTCGGAGAAGCGTCCCACGCTGGCTGCCTTGGCCACCGGTGACTCTGACTCGCATTTAATCGGTAATTCATTAACGCACCAGGGACCCGCAGACATACAAGCGTGCCCTTGAAGCGCCTGCCTGGCAGTCTCGGGAAGAAGGTGAGCGCAGAGAGTGGCTATAGGAGGGGACAGGCCAGCGTGAGGCGGTTTGCGAGCCCCCTACCGCCTGGGCAGGGCCGTGGGGCGCACGTGGGGCTGTGGGGCGCACGTGGACAAGGCACACAGGCCCCGGCAACAGCCGCATCTCCACCCATCCCCAAATTCCTAAGTCATGGTCTCCTCACAACAAGCCACGGCCCGGCAGCCTGGTGGGCTCCCCAAGGATGGGCAGGGACGGGACGGGCTTCCTGCGGTCAGGTGGTTCAGGCCGAGGAGGCCCAGCTGCGGGTCGGGACCGTCTGCAGGGATGGGAGGGGCAGGCCTGTGAGGCCTGGTTCAGTACGCCCCAACTCTGGGGGGCGGGGCAGGGCTGAGGGAGCCCCCCACTGGGGAGGGTGGGCGTGGCGGGTGGAGGGTGACAAGTCACTCACCAGCCTCCGCCAGCCTCTGGGCACAGGCCACCACAGTGGGCCCCAGTGGGGAGGAAGCCCAGCCTGAGGCCTCTTACCCCGCTTGTCTCCCACGTCTCTGTGTGCACGCAGACCTCGCCGCCACTTTCCTTTTCAACACGGGCTGACAGGCACGTCCCTCAGCTGCTCCTGGACTGGCCGGCTTTCCCGGAAGCCCTGGATGGCCTGTCCCCATCCGCCGTCCCCGGCCCCTGGGGTGCTGTGCTCACCCCCACCGCTGGCCTCCCAGCCCCCGCACAGCATGTCCCACTGTCAGCCCCGCTCTGGGCCTGTGACGGCCCCAGCTCCCTTCATATCTGCGCTCACGCCCTGGGTCTGGGCTCCAGGGAGTTCCTGCGGCTCCGGCCGGGCTGAGCAGGATGGCCAGGAGGGAGCATCGGTCATCACGCAGCGGCCACCCCTCGGAGCGCGACCTCACCCCACTGCTTGGGAGCGAGAGCTCACCGCACCCCTGGGCTGCGTTCTCAGGCTAAAAGACATGGCAAGTTTGATAGGCAAGGGTCTCACCGTTTAAAAATGGGAAACAGGGCCTCCCCGGTGGCGCAGCGGTTGAGCGCTGGGTTGCGAAGCTGCCCGCAGCCTCTGCAGCGCCGGTTCAATCCCCGGCTGCTCCCCGGCCACCGGAGGAGGGTCCCGCATGGTGCGCAGACCTCTCCTGCCGCCCGCTGCTCCCCTCGGCAGTGTACTTCGGTCCTTCTGCCTGCTCTGCTCCCCGCTCTGGCTCTGGTGAATTCTCTCACCCTCCCGCGCTTCTGACTGTGCCCAGTGCTTGTAGAAATAAATAAATAAATAAATCTTTAACCAAAAATAAATAAATAAATAAATAAATAAATAAAAATAAAAATGGGAAACTGCTTTGTTCCCAGGCAATCAAAAGCAGACTTATCGTGTGGCTCCACACAAACCAGCAGAAACAGGGTAATCATTTTAGAATCTGAAAAAAAACAAAACAAAAGCCAAACAGCAGCAGCAGCAGCAGCAGCAGCAGCAGGCGCGGCGCCGGGACACGCAGCCGTCACCACGCGCTCACACTGGGTTCCTCGTCCCGTGAGCCCTCGGCCGGCCCCACCAGGAGCCCCGGGCCCTGCAGTGTCCGGTGCCCAGTGTGCCGGGGCAGGGAGGCAGCTTTGCCCGCTTTCATGGGCTCCAGGTGGGAGACACCTTCAAAAGCAGCTGCTCTATCACTTCTTTGTTTCAATGTGGAGAGACCGAGGCCCAGAGGAGATTTGTTTACACTGCGGGGTAAGAAAAGACCAGAAGGGACGAACTTCTGAGGCGCTGGCCGCGGCTTCCCCGAGCGTGCTCTGCGGCACCCGGACCGTCGCCTGCGGCTCTGGCCCACGGGAGCTCTTGAGGGAGGTCGGGATGTGATTCTGACCCTGACCTTGGTCCCCAGTCGTGTAAACATGCCTTCCAGTCGTTCCCTTCGCCGCCCCTGCGGTGGCCGGGCGTCTCCTGCACACCAGCTAAGTGAGCGCGTGAGCCAGAGAAGCTCCAGCCCCTCCCCAAGGGCACCGTGAAAGGCACGCGCAGCCTCTTCTGCTGACTGGCATCTGCTGCTCTCCCTGGAGAGGAGTTTCCAGCCAAGCAAATAAAGACAGGCAGGCAGAGCCGCGCGCCCTCGGGACAGCAAAGCCTATTTCTTACTTGGAAACAATCTATAGTTCTCTACCAGGAGCTAAAAAAAAGGTCTGAGGCGAATGAGGCTCCTGGCTCGCGATCTGAACGCCTGCTTGCAGGGAAGCGGCTGGGCTGCCCGGCCAGCAGGCCGCCCTCGCATCCTGCTTGTCCTCGGGTTACGGCATCCCCCGGCCGTCACTGCACGCCCAGGACGAGGCTGTCACCTCAGGGTGCGTGGCGTGCCCGCCGCTGCCGGGCAGACGAGGGAGCGCCAGCTTGGGCAAGAGCTGGGTGTGAAAGCGCAACGATGCTTTAAAGGGACAAAAACCTCGGGCATAACCGGGCCCTGCAGAATGGGGTTTCTGAACAGCGGGTGGGCCGGGGGACGCTGAGCGCTCAGCATGGGGGGGTGGAATCCGGGGCTCCCACTCTGGCTGGGCCACTAAGTCGCGGCCGCACTGAGCCCCCACTTTCTGCGAGACGCACAGGACCCGCTGGGCGCGTGGCCGGGAGGGCGGCACCAGGTGATTGGGGTGGCACCCGGCAGCGTCTGGTGTGGCCCCATGCCATGAGCAGCAGCAGTCAATGCTGTGCTCCTCCACTGTGAGTGCGCGGATGGAGGTTTTTGTGTGAGGCCCTGTTCCGGGCGGACGTGTCTCTGACAGCTACGAGAGGAAAAGCCTGGTAGAAACAACTACCCAAAAAGGCATTTTTCTGAAAGCCCGAGGCTGTCTGACAAGGGTGTGCCTGGCACATCGAGACTGCAGTCATCAAACACGGTGCAGGTCTGTATCGATGACAAATGTGTCATGACGGGTTCCTGACAGCGACACATACGTGATGTCACGTTCTGCGTACGTTACTCCAGGAGGCACTTACGGGGATACACCGAAGTGTCACAAGTATTTCCTTCTAAAGAGTGGGCTGTGGGTGGTTGATTTTACTTCTTAAGAGTCCTACTTTGGCACGACGGAAAGCTCATTTAACGACATCTGTATCAGAAAACAAAGCAATTCCTCTCAAAAAAAGATCATCACTAAGTGACGTCATGCATTTTAGCGACATGGTTCCGGGGCCAGCTCGGGTGGCTACAATCGCGGCGAGGTCGCCGGCACCAAGAAGAATTGACAGGAAGGCAGTTTTTTACCGAAGCCACAATTCAGCATCCCCAAGACAGGCAGAAAGTGATCACGACAGCTCTTGAGCGCCCGCCCCCGCGCTGACGTTGCCCGTCACGAAACACCAGGCCTGCTGCACCTCCCCCTGCAGTGACCTTTAGGGCTAACCGGCCCTAGGTCCGGCTGGGCAACCAGCGCGCAGGGGAAGAACAGCAAAACCCTACCTGCTGCACCTCCCCCCTCCCCCCGCAGTGACCTTTAGGAATGGCTTTCGCCACGGTCCCTAGATCCGGCTGGGCAACCAGCGCGCGAGGGGGGGGGGGGAGAACAGCATAACACCCTGAAGCAGAGGAAGTGCAGCGGAAGTTCCCTGAAAAGACAGAAGCTTATCAAAAGATAACGACCACCAGGAACCACTACAAGAATGCTAAAAATCTTTTCCCCGTCTTTCTAGAACTACAAACTTTAATCCCTTATTGTCTTTCTAAACTTCCTTCTTTCTTCTATAATGGTCATTGCTTGTTGTGTAGATCACCTCCCTGATGGTGACAGACTGAGCCCATGAGCAAGCTGATTTCATGGATATTCATTCCTGTGCTTTTGGAAAACATATATATACTGGTCACAAACTCAAAGGAAATTACACTCAGATTTTCACTCTTGAAGTGTGTCTGTTTGTCATTTTGTTATAGGACAGGGAGAGGGGCAGCCCAAACCCCGCAAACCTGCCTATTCTAAATGGGTTCTGCCATCCGCCGCATCAACACAAAACATAGGAGACTTTAATGGGAAGGAACTTTAATAAAAACTAGGAAACAATACAGGTAAGGCAAAGAGTCTAGTTTCTAAATGAAGCACCCAAGGTTACCCATCCCCTCGTGGGTAAAACTCCATCCATATGGGGTCGGCCCAGAGCAAGGCCCCAAAGCCTGCCACAAGTCTAAAACATCTTCCAGTGGGGACCCACAGAAAAGGGTCACAAACAACCGGACAAGCCCGGAAGGAAAAGAGCAAAATCAACATCCAGATAAAAGCTGCCATTGTCACCTCCCCACGGGTCTCACCCACATCTGTGTCACCCAGTCCACGACCAAAAGACAAGCTCAGTTTCTTCACATGTCTCTAGGCTCCATGCGCCTCCTTCAGGTCTCCTGGCTCCATCCTGCTTCCTTCCTTAGTCTCTTCTTCTCCTTCTCCTCTTCCTGCTCCGCTCCACCCTTCCTTGGGTGGGGCAGGGAAGCTGGAACCTCCCCCTTTCCTGGGGACCACCCTGTTACAATTTCTTTCACTGACGCCCTGACCACCCTGCACGCTTCTCTCAACCCTGAGGTGGCCTCATCGTCTACTGCTGTGCTGGTCCGTGGCACAGGCCCATCAACCACACCAGCTGCTGACAGCCATTTCCTTCTGGAAGAATGTGCAGCCTGACATTCAAGTTGTAATAGATGCGATTAGAGAGACTGGCAATTAGAGCTGGAAACACGAGCTGTCCTGTCTGGGAGCCGCCGTGACGGAGTCACTGACCGTTTCTCTGCGGTCTGATTAGCTCATACTTCATGTCTCTACTCGGCTTCTGTTAAAAGCCATCCCGGCGTCTGCCCACTGGCAGGGGCGCGCGTGAAAATGTCTCGCACAGAAAGCTGCATTCCCCAAAGGGTCTTACCCAAAAGGGTCTTCAAGTGGGATGTGCTGGCCGAACGGGGCTAACGCCTGAGCCGCCGTGGGCTGACACCACGTGGTACCGCCTGCAAGTGCCCTCGTCTCATGGAAAACAGGGCGACTGAGAGGGCCAGAATGCCAATGCCCTAGGGCAGGCCGCACCCCGGAGCTGGGCTGCCAGCACCCCATCTCTGTCCCGGCTGGGCTGCTGTCAGGGCTGAATGCCAGCCCAGAGGCAGCTGGCACTTTCTATTTCACAGAGAGGTTTAGAGAGAAGCTGCGTCCGGGGAAGCAGGGGGGCCCACGGGGCCGTGCTGGCTCTGCTGGGCTCCCGGCTCTCCCCGCGTCCCCCTCCTGCCCTTCCTGGCCGCCTCCAGGACAGGCTCCCCGAGGAGCCCCTTTCATAGCCCGGGTTGGGACACACCCAGAACAGCGATGCCATTTACCACCAGCGTGATCCTGGACCGGCAACTTAGGGCGGCGCAAGTCCCGCGACAGTCACAGACACAATGTTCCACCTGGTGACGTTTTCCCCGGGGAAGGGGACAAGCAGCTCCCAGCTGGCTAGTGTCCCCACCTCCGCACTTGCCTGTGACCACCACAGCCTCACTGTCTGCCGGCTGATGACTAAAGCAGCAGTGACCCAAATGCTGGGCTGTCTTTTCACACCAAGGGCAGAGGAGACGCTCCTTACAGCTGAGCGCTTGACAGCCGCACTCTGAACTGCATTTTCTAGGCCCCAAAGACATGGTCCCTTGTTTTTAAAATACCTCTCTCCGTGGTCTGCCAAAGAGATGAGCCGCTTCAACTGAGTGAATGCACAGGACTTCTTCGTCCCCCTCTGCGGGCTCGCCCAAGCATCACAGAGGTTTTAAGGACAAAATGTTTTATTAGGGCCTCCCTGGTGGCGCAGGCAGTTGAGCACCACACTGTAAAGCTGTCTGCAGCCTCTGCAGCGCTGGTTTGATCCTGGCCCGCCGGCGAGGGTCCCACAGGGCGCAGCAGACCTCTCCTGTCTCGCCCGCTGCTCCCCTCAGCAGTGTATTTCGTCAGTTCGCCTGTTCTGTTCCCCACTCTGTCTCTGGTGAATCCTCTCACCCTCCCGCGTATCTGACCTGTCCCCAGGTTCTTGCATAAATAAATAAATAAATCCTAAAAAAATAAATAAAAAGAAAAAAAAGTCTTATTAACTGAAACTCTATTCAGCCATATTTTGTCCTCATTACTTACAAAAATGGGAAGTAGTAGGCTGCTTCAGTCACTCGAACAGAGCACATTTACCCAAAGCTTTTATCCTGGGGTGCCGTGGGGAGGGCCCGGGGCCAGCAGGTCCTCTGCACAGGCTGTCCTGCGGCCAAACGGTCAGGCAGGCACCGGGCGCCGCCTCTGACGTGTCCTTCTACGAAACAGGCCACGCTGACTATCTCGGAAGAGCTTCAAGAGGGGCGGAATCAGAAACCTTTGAAATGATTCACTTAGTCCAACAACAGTCAATTCAGAGACGACAGACGCCACGGCCAGGCATTTACTTTCCGTAATCACCTAACCTGGGTTTCACTAGTAAGAACGTTTGCTTTTGCTGGGCACACACTTCCAGGAACAACGGAGCTGCAGCACCGGCACTTATCAACCAGAAACTTAGAACTGGACAAAGGCTTTTACCTAGACCTCCGTTTCCCAGGGCCTCGGTGTGGAGGGCCTCAGGATGCCCACCGAAGGGTGCGCAACCCCTCAGCCTCCCATCCGACGAGCTGCCAGTCCCCGCAGACTGTTTGCCCCCTTGAAAGTCTCCTTTCGGTGAGCGTCCTGGGCTGTGGAGCATAAACGAGGCACTTTTACTGATGACATTTCAGGCTGACTCCCAGAAAGTTCTTTCCACTCACAGTGATTCTTTATTATGTCAGGGAACAAGAGAATTCCCGGAATGCTGTGTTCCAGTTCTCTGTAAGTCGAGCCTCAAGCTGCAGGGAGGAGGGACACTCCCCGCCCGACACAGACCCATTAAGAATTGATCCGCTCAGGAGGTCTGTCGTTCAAACCCGGCGGGTTCATCTGGGGTCCGGCTGAAGCCGGCGAGCTCAGGAACATGCCTGGGTGCCGGGGCTGCGCGCGTGATCTGAAGGCTCCTCTCTGCGGCCCAGTTCGGGTCGTGTCAGATGAACGAGCCTGCGCGCACGCGGCCGTGGGAACACGGGAAAACAGCGAAGTAAAACATGACACTCCAGCAGCTGGGGGGGGAGGCGGTAGCAGTTGGGGCAAGTTCCTCCCCCCGTCTTAAATTCACGAGGATTTTTCAGAGTGGGTGCGCCCCTGTATCCTGCTGTCCCGTGCCCTGTTAAAGGCCACTGTTTCCCTCTGCGCGCTGTCACTTTTTCCACTGGCACCACCGCCAGGCGTTTGTTTTCCTCTTGTTTGACCTCCTGCTCCCACAATGGGATTAATTATAATCCTGGGTTTGCGACGCGTTTTTTCAGGGCCCACTTTTAATTTTTTTTAATAATAAGCACCCAATGTATCCACATTTTTGGGGACTCGACGGTTTTGGTGTTAGAGTGCTCGGATTTTCCACTGGAAGCCCCAGAGTCTTGCCCTCCCTCCTGCCTCATTGCCCCCTTGGAGCCCTCTCAGCCCCTCTGTCAGGTGGGGGTTCCTGCTTCTTGTGGCTGATCCAACACTGGCGAGTCTACTGGCCAGTCAGGGGCCTTGGGGTCTGTGTTCCCTCTGTCTGAGGAGTGGGCTGCTGGCGGGGGGAGCGCGCGAGCGGCTGCCATCCTGCCTGTGATACGTTCGGCTGGTGCCACCGGCTTTTCTTGGGTGTGATCCACAAATGAAGGTGTGCGACCAGGATGGTGCTGGGTCACGATCCGTGCCGTCCCTCCCAGCTCTGTCCTGACACCCACTGGGTGAGCCTAAGATCTGTGCAAGGAAATACTCAAAGGCGTTTTGCACTCATGACGAGATGGAAGTCGTTCATAAAAGTAGCGACGACCAAGGGTCTACGAGCCAGGCTCACGGCCGATCCTGCCCTTCTCTTAAGGCGCTGAGGCTCAGAGAGAAGGGCCCTTGCTTCAGCTACAAACTCTAAGTGCGTAGGTGCAACGCAAGTCAGTTTCCAAGGCGCCTTCTCTGCCTCGGGTCCTCCCACGGTTGTCCAGTCCCGACTGTGTGGGGTTTGGAACCGGCAGGTCTCAGGGCAGCTTCCTCTAGTTGTGCCCGGTGGCCACCGCAGCCTGAGGCTTGGGACAGTGGCCGCTGGGGCCGGTGCTGCCACAGCTCCCCTGGCCTCTGCACGATGCCCAGCGACAGGCTCGCTGCTCGCCAGAGCCCAGACCCGCCAGCTTCGGTTGTGCAGACATCACGAGCTGGTGTTCTCTGGGGCCTCCTCCCTCTCCCCCTCTTTTGCAAGCAGGACGCAATGGTGCTAACACAGGTCCGTGTTTTAGTAGGAAGCTGCCTAACCGTGGGCCCCAGTTAAAGCCGAAAGCAGGGCCTGCTCTGCGTGCTGGCGACGGTGACGGGGTTGGGGGGGGGCTCCGGGTCCAGGCTGCCGCCCTGCACCCTAGCTCTGCTGCTTACCAACCGCCCGACTGGGCCAGCTGTGCCACGCTTTCTCCCTCACCTATCTGCAAAATGGAGAGACAAGATTTCTGCTCCACCAGGTTGCTGAGTGGGTTTTATCATCCAGAGAGGCATGATCCAGCAGATCTCAGTGCCAGGACGGGAACATTCTCCACCGTCCAAGTAGCCTCCGAGAGCCAGGAGCAGCCACCCCGAGCACTGGCTGTGCTGGGCACGTGGAATGTAGCTCTGCAGTGTCTGAGGCAGGGTTTTTCATTTTATTTATTCTGACTGGAATTAACACAAATCCACACACCCCGGTGAGGCCCGGGGCCACCATCCCAGCGACACAGATGGCAGCGTTGAGAGCTCCGTGCAACAGTGATCACTCCAGCGCGGGGCATGGCCCAGCGGGCCTCCTCGGGCCTTGGGGGGACCCGAACAGGGCGGCTTGGCCTGTTCTCACTTTGCACCGCGAGAGAAACTGAGCAGCTTCACCCCGCTGGCCATTATTGTCCAACTACCCCGTTCGGTCTTCACAACGCCGACCTCTCTCTGAGACGATGTTGCTCACGTATCTCCGCTCCGATGCCAGGATGTAAACTCAGGAGAACAAGGGCCTCTCTGTCTGCCCCCGGCTCTATCTCCCGCCCCAGAGTGATGAATGCTCCTCTAGTAACGTGGGCTGGCCCCTGAGAAAGGGGTCTCTGTGGCTGAAAACCGAGGCGCTCCGGCTCCATCTCCGGTCTGCCAGCCCGCCCATCGGGCAGCACGCGTCCTGCCGGCGAGGGGAGAACTGCTGATGGGCATGCGGAGCGCACAGAGGGCCGAGGGCAGCGCCTTCAGGCAGGCCTTTGAGGACTCTCTCCACCAAAAAGTCCGAAACCAAAGCAATCCACAATCGCGCCTCATGTAGACGAAGACACCCCGGCCGCAGGGCACGCGTGGGCTGCCGGGGTGCGTGGTTGGCGGCTGGCCGCATTGTCTGGGCGCATCTCATTCCACCTGGAAGCGCGTTTCCGCCGGCTGTGGTGTCGGCTCTGAGAGCCGCTCCACAGGCACCGCATCAAGCTGAGAAGTGGCTGTGCCGGGTCAACCCCGGGCCCTGCTCTCGTGCCCGGCTTCCCGGCGCAGAGCAGGCCCGGAGATTCAGAGGCGCTCGCGCCCAGCGGCCGCGGCTGCTCGCCCGGGCCCCTGCAGGAGTGGAAAATCAAGGACGACGCAGTTTCCATAAAGCCCACTTTATTCATCCAAGGAAAACCCTGTACTTCACCTTGGAATTTCCCAGTTGAGAGCGGGCGCAGCCCCTCGGATCCGCAGGCCGGGAGCCCCTCCCGCGGCCAGGCGGTGACGGCGATGGCGGAGGCCTCGCCTCGGCAGTCCTGTCCCTCAGCTCACCAACACTCACAGCGCCGCTGGTCAGGGGCTGGGCAGCCAGCGGCCTCGGAAACGCGCCCCAAGGCGGGCGGCGGCCAGCAGGGGCGGCTCCCACGCAGCTCCTCGGGCCACTGCCGGGGCCCAGGGGGCACCCTGACTGACCCCCACCCCCGGCCCGGGCCTGCCCGCTCCGGCCTGCGGGTGCATCGCAGACGGAGAGGGCAGCAGGACCCGTGGCCAAGATGGGTTTGTGCCGCAGACTCTGCTGGGGCCAGGGCTTGAGGCCAGGCAGGGCTGACACGGAGGCGGCACTTCTGAGAGAAACGCTGAAGTCGCAGCGGGACCATGACCCAGGCGGGGCGCGCGTGGGGCGGGGATCGAGGGGTGTGGGTGACTGCGCCGAGCCAGCCTTCAGGGCAGCTGGGTGGGAGGGGATAGGAGATGGGGGAAGGTGGGGTTTTCATGTAAGAGGCAAAATTTCCTCTAGCGAGCCTGACGCGGACGACGAGGGGGGCGGGCGGGGAGCTCAAGGGAATGCGGGTGAATATAGAATCGCCTTGTCCTGAGGGCCCACGAGCCGAGCACGCAAGGGGTCCCGGTACCTTATTTCATGCATTAACCAAGCAGCTAAAGGCGCAGCTAGAGAGTGGCTCGGCTGGACTTCACCCCAAGCCAGGCTGATGGCGAGCCCGGGCACCCGAGGACCCCCTGTGCACCCCCGGCTGTGGGAAGGCGCACCCCCCATTTCTGAAGGCAGGAGCCCTGCGGAGAGAGGGGCTGCCCCACCCCCCGTGCCCACGTCCTCCCCACCCTTTGCTTTCCCCCAGTTGAACTTTAAGCTTCTGGGGTCTGTTCCTTTCCGCGGGGTGTGAGCGAGCAGAATTCTAGTGTTTCTTCTCGAGGACGCTGCTTGTGGGAAAAAATCTCAGACTAGGAGAAAATGTTTCTTTGCTTGCAGAGCTGCAGAAAAGCAAGCACTGCTCTCGGTTAAGAAACTGCTCCGTGGGAGACGGTCGAGCACCGCAGCTGTCCCGGGTGGGCTGTGCAGGTGCGGACGCCCGGCCGTGCCACGCGGTGTCTGGAGACATCTAGCCTCGGAGAGCGCTGCTCACTCACTCAGATGCGACCGTCAGTGTCCAAAAGGCTGCTTTCTTTTTTTTTTTAAAAACAGGACTTTTATTTTTTAAGTTTTATTTATTTATTTATACAAGCACTGGGTACAGTGAGAAGCGCGGGAGGGTGAGAGAATTCACCAGAGCCAGAGCGGGGAGCAGAGCAGGCAGAAGGGCCGAAGTACACTGCTGAGGGGAGCAGCGGGCGGCAGGAGAGGTCTGCGTGCCATGTGGGACCCTCACCAGTGGCCGGGGATCGAATCGGCGCTGCAGAGGCTGCGGGCAGCTTCGCAACCCAGCGCTCAACCGCTGCGCCACCAGGGGAGGCCCCAAAAGGCTGCTTTCTTCATTGGTCGCCCGACTTGATAATTTATTGTCTTGATGCTAGTGAAGATTACAGAAACTTCCACAGTCTCCTGGTCAGACAGAGAAGGGGCTTGGGGTCTCTCCACGCAGATTAAAGCAGACGCAGATGCTAGTAAATTCTTTAATCAGTGGCGTTTGAGTCTTGCTCATTAAATCAACAACTGGCGCCGTGACCGGCTGCACAGGACGGGAAGACGGCCACGCCAGGACACGGCACGTATGTCCTGCAACGAGTGGCCTGAGTGGTGCCCCGTCTCACCTGCTGAAAGCCCCACCTGGCGTCCACACTGGCCCCCCGGCCCGCAAGAACCTGCACGGTCATGGCTCTGGAGCTGGAGCAAGACAGGGTTTTTGGGTGCAAAGAGCAGATGGAATTACTCTGCGAACTTTACACTGCGTCAGTGGGGAGCAGGGAGAACCGCCGCGAATGCAGGCATGCCGCCCCAGTGAGCTGCTTGCGAGCTTGATCAAGCTGGACCCGGGTTCTCATCTGGGTGCTGGCCAGTCTAGAGACATCTGAGGTTGTCAGAACCAGGGCAGGGCTCTTCTGGCTTCTGGGCGGAGGTCAGGGCAGCCCCCACCACTGCGTAGAAAGGCCTGGCCGGGAGCATCAGTGCCGCTGGGGTTGAGAAGCCTGGGCGGGACGAGCTCCAGCTGGAGGCGGGCCCTAGTGCTGGGACTAGAGCTCTGTGCTGCCCTCCTGGGGGTCCCGGTGGCCAGTAAGCACGGTGGGGGGCAGCTGGGGGAGCTCCTGCGGCTTCTTCCTAGAACAGAAGCTGCTGCTCTGGAGAAGTCACCATCCGCGAGGCTCCCAAGATCCATGGAGTTTCTCCTCCACATCTGAAGCTCCTGGCAGGCAGGTGGCAGGGAGGTGCCACCCATGGCTCAAGGCCGGGCCAGGTTTCCACCTGTCCTTTCCTCCTTTGAGTTGGAAGAAAGGGCTGCGTGTGAACCCCGATCTAAGAATGTGAGAACTTTCTTCCTAACGGTCCTGTTGTTTGACAGCACAAGGTTTTGCTTAAGGAAACGGAGAACGGAGAGGTTGAATACAAGAGAATTCTGGAACCCCAGAGAGGGAGGCTGGCATGAGAGTTACAAGAGCTGTGCATCTCCAGGACACTGAGACACTAAACTCTGAAGTTGCTCCGATATGCACTTTCCACAGGACAGCTGGGGAATCTCCAGGAAACTTTGATATTTAAAGGTTTTAACATTTGTTGACCACAAAGGAATTCCTATTTTTAAGGACATCACTAAATACATAAGTCTTATGAGGATTTTGAAGACTCTCAAACTTATAAAATAATGCCAAAACTCTTCCTATGCCACACGTGCTAGCGCTGTAAGAAAAGCCTTCCTGGTCAGGAGACAGGAAAGTGCAGGCAGGTTCCCTGGTCACCGGGAAAACGTGTTTAGAAAACAAACCATAATTCAAACTTTGTAATTTGCATGAGTGAGTTCAACAAACTGGTGTTGAGCTGGTAAATCTTAAAGTGGCTTTTCACTTGGAAAAGCTCTGATCCAAAGTAAAAAGTTATTCGGGCTACAAAACCCCAGTTTAGAAGCAAAGATGAAAGATGAAAGCTATTTATCTTTTTTTTTTAACTATTTTAAGTCCAAGAGTGATGGAATTCCAGTGTGACATGGTACTGGTGAGGCAGAGCCACACAGTCCCAAGGACTTGGGGTGCAGAGCAGGCTGTATGGCCCCGGGGAGGGGGGGCAGCACGGGCGCACAGTTCGTGCTCTCACCGAGGAGAGTGCCTTTCTCTGCGTGCCTCTGAGCCACTGGAGAGGTCAACTGGAATCCACCAAAGAACGAGAGCTATAAAGAGGCTGCTGCAAAGATGCCAAGGGCCCTGGGCGGGGGAGGGGGGCAGGCTGACCTGTGCATATGAATCCACACAGAATGGTGGGATTTTGGCACAAAAGCTAAATTAGACTGGACGCCACGCGCTCCTTACACTGGCCTTACAGAGCATGATCGGGGCAGGTGACCCTGGACGTGAGCGCGTAGCTAGGGTGAGTGTAGCCCAGGAATCAGCATCTCTGTAATTTGCTTTTTACAAACTCCAGGCAGCATCACGTGGCCCGTTAACCCACACAACCAGATGACCCCGGGGCTGAGGAGCGGAAGAGCCCACGTTTCCCTGGCAAATTCTCAGTATCCACCGCCACAGCGCTCGCTAACGTAAACTCTATAGATCTTCTGAAATCCCTAATTCCTTTCGGACCAGCAGAGCACTGAGGTAATTAGTCGTCTATACTTACCTAAAGATTTATAAAGATGTCAAAATTCAAATTAAAAAAAATACTATCACCTGACTGTCCCCACGGGGACCCGCCAGGTGGTTCGGAACTGGCTCTTCAAGCTCCAGTTAAGACGGTAAAATCCACGCCCAGACTACGGGGCTCTGACGTGTCCGATGACATTTACGCACCGCCCTCTCAGAGCCTCAGAAATCCGCCGTCGCCTCGCGCCGCTGTCGGAATGGCGACGTGTCCTCACCTAGCGGGACGTGGACGTGAATCCGCGAGAACTTGTGTATAAAGGACGAGCAAAGACTAAGGAAGGGCTCACGGGAAGAAAACCCATCTCTGGCCCGCACTCTGTTCTCCCCCACCGCGCAGCTGTGCTGGCCTCTGCCTCGCGGGCTGCCCAGAGGCCAGATGGGGCCCCAGGACACGTGGTCCTGCTTCTTGCTCCTGCGCCTTTGCTCTGCCCGCAGCCATCGTGGACACAGGGGAATCCTCGCTCGGGGGAGAGGGGGGTTCCACACTCCACCGGTCTCAGGACTGTCCCTTCTGTCCCTCGGCCAGACGGTCTCAGGCTTAGCCCCCCTCTGACCTGTCACCCTTGTCGCCCAGACCAGGCCCTTCTGGCAGCCCCTCCCCATGCCGTCCTGGCCCCGCGTCAGGGCCTAGTAAAAGGGGGCATTCTTGCCACCAGGCCACCTTTGGCAGCTCCATGGGACGATGTCCTCATCCTGCTCCTGTGCCCGTGGCCTGGCACCGTCACGGGAAGGGCTGCCAGGTACGACCGGACACAAGTGGCTCCTGACTTCGTCTGCATGAGCCCCGCCATGCTCCCAGGAGGGCGGTGATGGGAGGACTATGAAGACAAAGGGGGTGCCTTTGGGGGTGGCATTTGTAAATATGTTCAAATCGGCTTTATTCTAAGGCGGAGAATGGCTTCCAAGTGAGCGTTTGAGCAATTTCACCGACCGCAGTGGACGCCCGCGTACAGAGGCCACAGAGGACTGTCAAAAGGACTCTGAAATGTTTTATTTCCGGATCTGGCGCGTTGGCTGTGTTCATTGGGAAGAGGTGTTCATGGAACGTACAGGCCATGCTGGAAAAGCGCCAAAGGGCGTGGCGTGGCCTGAGCCTTCCCTGTCCCGTTAGGATGGGAACAGGTGGGGCGGTGGGGGCTGCGGGAAACACCCTGGGGGAGCCCGCAGGGCCTGGGCTGCAGTGGCCAGAGGCCCAGCCATGGACTGCAAACACCTGGTCTCAACTGTCAAAGATCCAAGACCGGAGAGGACGTCCAGTTAGCACCGGAGTCGCTGCCCTCGCAGCTCCCAGCACGGCGTGGCCTGCGTGTGCGTGCAGCTGAGGACGCCCAGGGCCGCAGGCTCACCTTAGGGTGAGGCCATGCCCAACACGGGGCCTTCCTGTGGGACGCCCCTGCTACCCGCGAGGACGCCCCACCACTCAGGTCTCCTCTCCACTCCACCATCTTAGGCGCGGGAGGGCACCTGCTCAGGTGGCCCTGCGCCCCCTTGGGCATGCTCTGCTCTGACCACAGCCTGCTGGCCGGTGGGGGGGGCACGCGTTCTAGAAGGAGCCAGCGAAGCCCCAGCGGGCACAGAGTCCCACCCACCAGGCCTGGGACGCGCAGGCCCTCGACACACAGCAGCAGACAGCCTCAGCCGCCCGTCCCCAAGAGGGCCGCACCGGCTCTGTGGGTCCCGACGGAGGTCTCTGTCTGTCTCCCCGGAGACACCCGCCCCACACCTGATGGCCCGGGCTTTGCAGGCCCGGTGTCGAGTCCACAGCCTCGCTGCGGACAGCCTCGGCCCGGTAGACACAGACTTGGCCACCTTCCTGATAGAAATGAATCCCTCTCCGAAGCCCGCATGGCTGCCGAGGCCTGGGCAGAGGAGACCTGCTTGCTCCCAGTGGCTGTGCCCCCAACCCTGGCCCGGGCACCAGGGTGGCCAGAGCAGCTGCCTTAGTGGCTGGAGCTGCTGCTCTGTCACAGGGACCCAAACGGCAACGGTGACTCACTACTGAGGCCAAAGCTGGAGCCCCTGAAAAGGCAGCCCCCGGCCCCAGTAACCCTGCCGTACGCTTGTCTGTGCGGACACCTCTGGAAACAGCAGCGGACCCTCCCGGCCTCTTGCCGGGTGCAGGGGGATCTGCTGCCCCAGGCACCAGGCCGGAGGAAGGCGAGGGCCCCTAGCAGGAACATGGCTCTGCAGGCCAGAGAGACTCCAGCAGAGCTGGCAGGAGCAGGGGCCGGTGCCCCCACAGCGCGGAAGGCGCCCTGTCGAGGGGACGTGAGTGCCTCGCGAAGACAGTGCTGGGAGGACACTGGGAGTCTCCTTGATGGGCAGCAGCGCTGCTTAAGCAATGCTCCAGAAAGTCGGCTTAAGAGATGCCCCTCAGCCCTCCTCCCTGCCAGTGAACAAGAGGGGCGCAGGGTGCGTGGAGAAGCAGGCCGGGAAGGAAAGCTGAGGAACACAAGCTGACGGGTCTCGCGCAGACCCAGAGGTAACCGCTCAGAGCTGCCCACAGGCAACAGAGAGCAAGAGAGCAAGAGCGAGAGAAAGAGAGAGAGAGAGAGAGAGAGAGAGGGAGAGAGGGAGAGAGGGAGAGAGGGAGAGAGGGAGAGAGGGAGAGAGGGAGAGCGCCGCCGCCGCAGAGGGCTCGCCTCAAATACCTCCCTAAAAGTCGTGGGTGTCCCCCACTCACTGCGAGCGCCAAGCAGCTGAGCCTCGCTCGTCCTGAGGGCGGGAGCCGTGGGATGCGGCCAGTGGGGAGACGCCAACAAGGGAGGACTTGCCTCCTGCTGCACAAGGCGGCTCTGACAAACCGGTACCAGGAGCGGTGGGGAAGGGGTCCCTCGGCCTGGCCTCCCCGAGCGGAGGAGACGGCCCGGCCCCCGGCTGCTCAGAGACGCGCTGCCGAGCTCCCGCCAACCGCTCCCAAGGCTGTTTTCTACCGGGTTGCCTCACCGGACAACTTGGTGTCCTGGACCTAACATTTAAAGCAACATCTGCGGTTTTCCCTCTCTCCTGAAGGCATGAAAGTGGGATGGTTTCTTGTTTCACTTTCAGCTGGCCGGAACTCGCCCCTTCTCTTCCCGCCTGCGCCCAACGTGAATAAGCGAATAAGCGACACATCCCTTGGGCAAAGCGAGTCTTTTGTCTCAGTTAAATGGTCACACCCTAACTTATCAGGTGGATGATGGGCACAAAAGCCTGAGACAAACTCATCTTCTAAAGAACAGGAGGGAGAAACTAGTTCAAAAAGGATGGAGAAAGAGGACGTGCGCGCACACAGCAAGGCCGGATCCTACCTCCTCTCTCGTCTTCCTAGAGTGTGCTGGAGCAGCTCGGCTGGCCTGGTTACCATCACGCACCCTGACGTCCTTGGGCAGAGAAGGTGTGGGGTCCTCTGGGGTTCACAGGAAATTCTGTTCAGCTCCTTGGCCACAGAGCCCCAACCCCAATGACCAGCTCCATCCGGGTGTCGTGACTGATCTGGGGAGCTCACTGCTCCTACTGCCCATAAACTGTCATTGGCAAGACCGGATTAGCACAAATGGGACACATTTCTTCATTCTTCAAGCACAAAGCTCCGATTCACCCAGTCTTTTTAGTAAACTAATTCTACTTCTCAGCTTTGTTATACTCTCAGCCGCCAACAGATATTTAAAAACCACACAGACATACTGGAAAAAGGGCCAATGCAACTTACTGTAGGTGGATATGACTGGGCTTTTTGCTGTGAAATTTGAGTCATGTTTGAGTAATGAAGTAAACAAACTAAAATGCAGAGCAAGCACAAGAATCAGCCCTTAATGAGTGTCTTCTAAAAAATAATTTCAGCCAAGGGGAAAAAAATCTATTCACCTTCACAACCTGCTGACTCTCAGAGGAACGATGGACTGACATCATTCCATTTGGACAAAGAGCTTAAAAAAAGACTCCGCTGCTTGCCTCCATAGAAGATGGTAATTTTCCTCTTGATTAAATAGAAAACAAGAGCCAAAGAAAGAAATGCAAATCTCTTACAATGAAAAAGTTTTTCAACAAAACAGGGTGGGAGAGTCCCTGCAAAGCCCCACAGGAAAGCAGAGTAGGGCAGAGCCACCTCTGGCACCCGGCTGCCCCGCACCCTGGAAAAACCTCCCAAGGGGGCAGGTGGGTGTTGGGGGGTGTCGCTGCGCCCTTACATAGAAGTCAGCATAAGAAATAAAAAAAGAACTGCGATGCCCTCCAGTCCAGCTGCCTGGGGACCCAGGCTCCCAGACCCCAGACCTCCTCACCCAGCCGCCTCCGTGATACCTCCTGGCAGTCATTTTCGCCCAGCAGGGAACCACCTTATCAGGAAACGCCTCAGGGAAAGGGCAGCCTTTCTTTCCACTGCTGGAGGCTGTAATCATAGGCAACTTTTGCTTTTATGTCAAAGTGAAATCTGTCTGCCTGGAAGTACTGCTCAGTCTCCTCTGAACTCAGGCGTTAGAATTCTTTTGCTACACAACAAGCCCGGAATAGCTGAAGACAATTAGGACACATTTCTTTTCCTACTCAAACCTCTCTGTGGGTTTAAGCATCAAGGCTGGAGATGTGAACACTGGAGTCACCAAGCTGGCAGCCACCTAATCATCTGGAAGGTTCACCTGACACAAACATTCACTGCACCCTTGGTGTGGGGAGCAGACACACCACACTAGGGGTCCTCGACCATTAGGACGCTCAACTCAGCAGCATGTTTAATCTTAGTAAGCAAACACATGCACTCATTACATATTAGGAACTATTTATGGCTGACCTCGTTCTAGATAGAAAAGGTCCGTCTTTTCTTGCCAGAAAGAGGAGAAAATGCAATATAACAGAAACAGAAGTATCTCTGCAAGGCAGCAGCTCCTGTAAGTGCCACCGGATTCGTTGTGACTGCATTCCGCCAATTAGATAATGATGATGTTAAAATGAATTTCGCCAATGAATGACAGATGACAGAACCCCTACTGAAAGTAAAAGAACTTAGTTTTTAGTAAAGAGTGAATAAAAATATCTAATTTCCAAGGAACCTTTTTGTTAGGTGATATACTGACACGCGGTACAGTAAACCGATACAAATAATTGTGCTGTATTTTAGATTTTAAATATATGCGCAGGAAATTAACTGGGTAATTACACACGATACTGAGGAACAGCACAAACTATTTTAAGGTTTTTCAGCAGTGTGTATGTATTTGCAAGGACAGGTACTGTTAGGGGGAAGTGATGAATTGTTAGGGGGAAGTGATGTCCTGAGTTAATCCCATACAGGATTAACTTTGTGGACCCCACCCCCACTCCAGACTAAAGCCATCAAGACTCTGGGAAAGACAAATCCCATCACCACCAAGGGAGGGTGGCTGGGACCTGAGGGTGGAGTTGGGCAGCCAGGTTGGATATAAAAAACCAAACACGTGGGCCTTGGGCTCTCTCTGGCTCGCGATCGCTCGCCTCCTGGCTTCACCACTCCTGGCTGGCGGCCAGCTCTCAGAGCGCCATTTTGGGATTCCTGATCGGCGGATCGGGTAGGACTCATTTAAAAGTTTGTCTCCCACTTTTCTCCCAGAGCTGTCCATTTCCTCATTTCCCCTTCCCTTTGTAAATAAACCTTTTATTAACCTTTCACGTGCGCCTGCAGTAGAGCATTGATAAGTCCTTTTAAGCGCGCGGGTGAGGACCCACAGTCAGGCACCCCGTTTTGTATCGGGGCTGCTCTACAACAGTACCAATACGTAATATGCAGCACAAGTCTTCCGATATATTTCCCAGGTTAATGGTTCACTAAATGAAATACATAAACTCAGAACAGCTCTGGAGGTGTAAGTCCCTTTAACCGCTGGCATTTCCCCCTTACAAGTCAATGGCAAGAAAATGCAGGGAAATTCTTGACTGTGCAAAAAAGACAATCATTTAATAAAATAATGAAACTCTTAAAAACGTTCCAATGTGAAAGAGCCTTTAAGAAACAACCATGCTGGCGTCAACACGCCCCAGGCAGGTTTCTGGACATGCCTAACCCAGGGAGGCATTAATGGCCTGGCAGCTTGTGTCCTGTTCTGAGACCGATGGCTGCGGTCTAGATCACACCGCACGACTGGATCTCCCCTTAGGCCCCTCATTTCCCTCATCGGACTAGATCGCAGCGTTAAATAGCAAAGCTGGAAATGAACGACGCAAGTCGGCATGAAACCCAAGTTCAGATAAACGAGAGGAGCCGCCGGGGCGGCCGGCGGGCAGCCCGCGGGCCCAGCCAGGGCGCCGCGCCTCCCGGCCCCACGCTCGGCCGCGCGGGCCGCAACCACATCGCCGCTCGGGGTGAGCCGCGGCCCGTCGGGGCGTCGGCCGGGCTGGAGGCCGCGCACTCTCGGCGGGGTGTCCCGACGGGGCCGTGCGCCCCCCGGGCGGGCTCTCGAGGTGCCCGGCCCCGCCCGCCCGCCCGCCCGCGGCTCCCAGAGAAAGCCGGGCCCGGCCGGCGCCCCCGCCGCACCTGCAATGCGGCTGCTCCTCGCGTGCGCCCCGCGGGCCTCGCCGCCCGGGTTGGCCGCGGCGCGCCTCCCGGCGGGGTACGGCGCGGGCGTCGCCTCAGCGGGCGCGGGGGCCCCGCCTCACGGCCGCCCCCGCCCCCCGCCCCCCGAGGCGCCCGGCCGCGGCCGGCCTCGCCCCCGCCCGCCGCGGGGCTGAGGGACGAGCGCGCCCGGCGCCGCAGGCCCGGCCAGGTGCGGCGGCCACACCCCGGGCCCCGCCTCACCTGCGCGCGGCGGCCGGTCCCTCAGGCGGCGGCGGCGCTGGGCGCCGAGCTCCGGGCGGGCGGCGCGGCCCGGCGGCCCATGGGCGGGGCGGGCGGGCGGGCGGGGGCGGCGCGGCTCCGGCTCGGCCCTCCCGGCCGCGGCCCCGGTCAGCGGGCGCCCGCCCGGCGCGCCCGTCGCTCCCCCGAGCGCCCGCCGCGGGGCACGCCGGGACGGGGCCGGGCCGGGGCCGGGCCGGCCGGGCCGAGGGGCGGGCGGCGGGGGCGCCGGGGGGCGGCCGGCCGCTCGATACTCACTTGGCGGGGAGGGGGCGACGCCCCCCGCCCCCAGCCGTGGCGGGGCCGGGCGCGCACCGCGGGGAAGGAGGGTCCGGCCGGCGGGACGCAGGCGCACGGCTCAGGTGCGGCCGCACTGCGGTTGCCCCGGGTAACGCGGGCCCGGGAGGGGCCGGGGGGAGGAGCGAGGCCGGCGCGCGGGAGCGCGCGCGCCGCGCGGGGGCGCGCCGCCGGGACCGGCCGGGAGGGGGGCCGGGCGCGCGCGGGCGGCCGGGCGGGGGGTGCCGGGGCGAGGGCCGGGCGGCGCGCATGCGTGCGGCCCCCGCTCCCCGGGGGCCGGCCGGCGAGGCGCGTGCGCACGCGCGCGGTCCCCCGGAGGCGTCTGGGTGAGCGGAGCGCGCGCGCGCGGCTCGGAGGCGCACCTGTGAGGCGGCCCCGGCGGAGCGGGCGGGTGGGCGCGCGGAGCCGCGGCCGGGGGCGCCCCCACCCCGCACTTGCAGTGAGTTCCGGGCGGCCGCGCGGCCGTCGCTCGCCGGCTCTTCGGGCTGCGGGGCGGGCGGGCGGGGGGCGCGGGCGGCGGGGGACGCGGGGCGTCAAGAAAAGGAAACAGCCCGTCCCTCGGCGCGGCCTCGGCCGGCCCCGCGCCCGCCGGAAGGTCAGCGCCGCGCCCCGCCGGGCCCCGGGCGCCCCGCGCTGGCCTCGGGCCTCGGCGGCGGCCGCGCCCGGGCGCGGGGCCGGGGTCGGCGATGGCGGCCGGCGGCGCGGGGCAGCGGCCGGGGCGAGGCCGGGCGGCGGCCCGCGGGAGCCGGCCCGGAGCCGGCCCCATTGTTGTCGCGGCCGCGGGCCGGGGGGGCGCGAGCGCCTTCGCCGCCCGGGCCGCCGCGCCCTGGAGCGCGGCCAGGCGGGTCCCGGGAGAGGCGGTAATGGCCGCGCGGGGCGCGGGCTGTGCGGGCTGCTTCGGGGCGCCCGCGGCCCGGCCGAGCCCGCGAGGGCCGAGCCCGGCGCCGAGGAGCCCCTCGCGCCCCCGCGCCGCGGGCGGCCGCCGCCGGACGCCTCCATTGTCTGACCAGCGCGAGGCCGCCGCTCGCCCCAGGTAAAGAGGCCGCGCCGCGGCTCGCGTCCACTCTCCCCTTCCAGGACGCGGCTCGGGTTTCCTGCCCGCGCCCTGCGGCTGATTAACTCGGTGTCCCGCCGCCTCCCGGGCAGCTCCCCGTCCGGATCCGTCTGCCCGCGCCGCGCTGCCCCGTCGCCTCTCATTTCCCTCAGAACTCGGCTCCTTTGTGAGCGCCCTCTCGCCAACTCTCGCCGCGGAGTCTCCGGAGGAGCCCGCCCCGGACTCTCCTAGTTGCTAGTTTGTTGGTGGGTTGTCTTAGGGCGACAAAGGAGCCCCGGCGTGTGAAGCAAAACAGGAGTGCGCGATTGCCTCTCCACGGGGACGTTTGTGGCGTGCGGGCCGAGTGTGGTCCAGCAGGGTGGACTGTCTCGGCTTACTCTCCCTCTCTTTGAAAGGGGGCCCCTGCTTCCTTTAGAGGGGCTGATGCAGCATTTTAGAGCAGAAAACCGACCTTGTTCGGCCCACAGGTTAACTCCAATGTTTACAATAAAATTTAAGCCAGTCACCTGATGTATTTTCTTTGTAAAAATTACAGGGTCACTTGCACGGCTGAAGCGTGACTACCAGGTCCTCTCCGCAGAGGCAGCAACTGTTACATGTTGGGTGTGTGTCCTTGTGGATCTTTTAAAATACTTTAAGTGTGTGAGTACTTGTGTTATCTTTGTTGTAACAAGTGCTAGGGTATTCTGTCTTGATTCTCGCTTATAATATGCTAACTCATTTTGGAGAACTGCTGCATCATGTCCCATAGTTTGGGAATACCCTAGTTTAGCCGTTTCCTGGATCGATGAGAATGTAAGTTTTAACATTATTTTTAAAACAGCCTTTCTTTTTTTCTTTTTTCTTTTTTTTTTTTGGGGGTGGTGGTGGTTCTCTAGTGAAATGAAATTTTAATGAAAGGAGCACAAGTCACTAATTACAGACACTGGGCGTTTATGATGGAAGTTCTCTTTGGTTAAGAAATTGACATGGGGGCCGCGCCCTCCCCCATTTAATTATGAGTCTACTACTTTCAAGTCCTGTGACCTTGGGGAGGGCACTTGATCACTCCTCGCCTCAGTTTTCTTTTGCTCTATCGACTCCATAGTGCTCACCCACAGGATGTATGTGAAAGTGCTCTGTAGCTATAAAGTGGAATGTAAGTGTAGGTTTCGTTAGCTTTTGTGATCCAAGAGGATTTTTTATTTGCAGTATAGTTGACATTTTCTGTTTTGTCCGGATGTTTGTGTTACAGAATACTAGACTTAGCCAACATTTTTTCAGAAGGCTTTCTTTCTTAGACAACACCCTTCTAATGCATAATTTTGTTATATTAATTTTTGTTAAGCACTGTTATTACATTAGACTTCTTGAAGGGTATTTTACAAAGCATTTTTTTTCCTAGTGCTTTATGTGCTTTCAATTATAAGGCGTAGAGATTAGTTGATTGAGAAGAAAGTGTCAATAAATTGAACACTACAGAAAACTTATGATATTTAAACAAAATGTATTTCCTAGTATTGTAAATTTTTATGTGTGTTTTCCTGTGGCAACAGCAGATTCAAGCTAGCTTTTCTGTCCTTCAGGTAAAATGGATTCTTAACTGAATCTTTAGGCAGTATCCAGAGGAGTTGTAATAATTTAAATAGTGATTTAATGATAGTTATTGTTTTAAATGTAAGAGGTACAATTAGGAGCTGTGTAGGTAGTTTTTTTCATCCAAGTATCTATGACTGCTTTTGTAGCATGACCGACAAAACCACCTTGTCCCTGTTCTCTTAGAGTTTATAAACTCGGGGTGCAGGGAATCAGAAATTAAACACAGTCACAGCGACATGTATAATCACAAACTGTGATCTCTGTTCTGAAAGTTAAGTAGCCCCAGCAATAACAGACAGTATTAAAAGGAGACCAGGTTTTAGAATGAGGTGACAGGACCCAGGAAAGACCTTTTTGCAAAAAGATTTGAGCTAAGTTCTGAAGGGTAAGTAGGCGTTACTGTAGTGAAGTGGGGGATAATTTCCCAGGCAGGAGAATGGCATGTGGGAAGGCTCTGGAGGGGGAGAAAGCATTGCCCATTCCAGAAACTGAAAGATTGACTTGTGGGTAGATTGAAGTGGGTGAGGGGGAAGTGTGGCTAGGCAGGGGGCCAGATCATGTAGGGTCTTGTAGGGCAGGTTAAGGATGTTTTATTTTATTCTGAGTGAAATGGGAAACCATTACAAGGTTTTAAGTAAGGGAATGACATAATCAGATTTGCATTTTTTAAACAATTGCTCCAGCTGCTCAGTACAGAACGTGGGGGTGAGTTGGGGGTGGCAGTGGAAGTGGGGGAGACTAGGTAGGCCACTTCAGAGATCTTAGGTAGAAGAGACTTGGTCTTCCCCTGGAGTTCACATTTAAATTCAAATTACCAACAAAAATAAGGTCAAAATAGGTATTTGATTAAAATAAACTAAGCCCTTGTTTCTTATTTCCAAAGAATTGAAATAGAAAGACACTTCTTTAATGCATAATATACACATAAATGTTATTAATTGTTCATACTAAACAGAAAAGTATCAGTTAGATTCAAAATTGGGATATTGTTTAACGTGATCGTGGTAAGTCTTGCCAAAGTACAGTACATGAAATAAGAGTAATGGAAGCTCTAATATGAAGAGATACGTTTGTAGATACTTTTGACTACGACAATGAGAGTAATAAGGCACAGAAGTTAAGGCAGTGACTGCGCACAGAGTGCATAAATAAAATTTATAGCTTTCTGATTACTAGAAATGAACTGGCCAGAGCTAGAATGGAAAGAAACCACTAGACTACTGTAATCACAATGCAGCATGAAGCACTAGGCACCATCGTATTGAGACCAGTGCCATCTCCCTGGAAGAGAGGGGGTGATCCTGGATGTGCGGGCTGTGCTCCTAGGGGCCGTGTGTCAGCATTGCAGAGATGTCCTTTTTGGTAAACTGTGCAGAATAATTCTGAGCAGTGAAGCAGGACAAGCCCGTCTAATATTTAAACAAGTTACAGTCACATTCATTAAAACAGGCATGTGACTTGAGAGCATCTGTATAGCTTAGTGGGAGCTATTTAGCACCCCAAAATAAACAACTGTATGTGGTGATGTAAGAATGAGAAATCATCCTGAATGCGCCCACATCATAAAGAACATATGGAAGTAAATACTGAACATCTGGAATGAGCTCTGTATGCTGAGGTGGCCGGAGCACAGGCTCTGCCATCAGACACACCTGAGCTGGGGTGTTTTCAGTGAGGGGATACTACCTACTGTGCAGGTGTGGTGAGGGATAGGGACAGGGCCTACACCCAGGGGTCAGTCAGGTCTGTTATGAGTTAGAATCTGAATTAGACCACAGAATAACTTAAAACTTCTTTTAAGAAGAAAGGGAAAACAGCAACCTTTGGATTAAAAGCCAAGCCACAAAATAGGAAAAATATTTTCTTGTGACAAGGAACAAACCCTGTAAGTGAAGAGTTAATGCTTTCAGCATGTGGAGAACTCATAGAAATGAAAATAATGAAACTCCACACAAGTGATTATAGGATGTGGATACACAGTTCACTGGCTAGAAATAGAATTTGTTAAACATTTGGAAAGGTATAATCTCACTAATAATAAAATGACTTGCAGTTACTCTTACAGAAAAGTAGGATTCTGTTCTTAATAGGAGCAAAACTGGAAGACATTTAAGGATAAGACTTAAACATATGAAAGTTTTATGAATAAAAGTGAAATCTTTATAAAAAAATTAAAAGTAACTTAAATGGACAGACATGTTTTCTGGAGCAAAGGTATTGTAAAGATTGCAATACTCAAGAAATTAAACTATAATTTCAGTTGAAATCCCAGTGGGAATTATTTTTGGAATTATTTTGGACACTTGGTGAAATTCTTCTAAAACTTATCCAAAGGAATAAATGCTAAAATAGCCAAGAAATTTTTCAAATAGAAAAATAGTGGTGGAAGATTTGCTCTGCTAGATACCAGAGCACAGGGCAATACTGCAGTGGTGTAAATGGTGAGCACAGGAATGGACAGGTCAGAGAGGAGCAGCACTGACTCCGGTAACAGACCTGCTTATGTGTAGAGATTTAGTTCAAAGTTGGTATTTCAAGCACCTGAGAAATAATTGTTCAAGGTAGTATGCAGCAAAAAATGACTATTTGAAAAGAAAGTCCTTTCTTCCCAATACGTTAAATTACTTCTATTTGGATTAAAGAACTAACTCAAAAACAAAAACACTCTGCAAATTTTATTTTATTTATTTTTTATTTATTTTTTAAAAGATTTATTTATTTTTATACAAGAACTGGGTTGCAGGCCAGTGATACAGGGGCGGGGGGAGGTGAGAGGATTCATCAGAGACAGAGCGGGCAGATGGGTCGAAGTACACTGCCGAGGGGAGCAGCAGGCGAGACAGGAGAGGACAGGAGAGGTCTGTCCCGCCTTGTGGGTTTCTCCCTGGCCGTCCGGGAATCGAACTCGCGCTGCAGTGGCTGCGGATTGCTTCATCGGTTGCGTGTTAACCCCTGTGCCACCAGGGAGGCCCTCTATGCAAATTTTAAAAGGAAATATAACAGTTTCTTATCTTGGAGGATCCATTATGTTGGAAAATGTTTTGTGGGTGTTTAGGCAAGACCAAGACCCAAATCATGAAAGATTGATCAATTTGACCATCTGTGATATTTCTGTGGGACAAAAGATATTGCAAGGTGCACACAGGGAAAGTTTTTTGTAACATGTATAAAGGATTAATTGAATTGATAACAATGAAGAAATGGAGGAGGATATGTATGGATCCTTTCTCAGAAGGGAAAATGAAAGTGTCAAGGCAATGAAGAGGAACTCCACCTGCCTCGTGATTAGGGAAATGGAAATTCAAGCAACAAGATTTTTTTTAGGACTATCATGCAAAAGCTAAAAAGATACTCAAGGGTGTACTATGGAGAAGGCACATGACACATTCTTGAGAAGTGAAGTTTGCTTTTAACACTGCAAGGAATGGCAGAGTCAGCATGAACTCTTTGTTGTAGCATCACCTAAAATGAAGAAAAGTGGAAATAAATCAGGGATAAGCTTCAGTACCTCTAGGCTATGCAGTGTTACTTAACTTTGATGTATTGACATAGCCTGAATGAGTGAACCCCCCAAAAAGCAAGTTTATTTTTTTTAAATAATAAATTTTATATTTATATTCCCCATACAATTGCAACCCCCCCATTCTGACCCCAGTCCCTCCCCTCCCGCCCCCCACCCCCCATAGAGTATCTCTGGTTCATAGTTTTTTGTTGATTTTGATTTTCACTTTCTTATAGTTATTCATTTTCCTGGTCCCTTATTTAAGTTTTCTAGATTCCTGCTATGAGTGAGACCATCTGGTATTTTTCTTCCAAAAAGCAAGTTTAATTTCATTATTGGAAAGTTACAAAATGAAACATTTAAGTATATGTACCTGTTTGGAATAAAAAATGAGGAGGTATAGGTGGAAAACACTGTTACTGCTTATAAGGAAAGAAGCATGGAGGAGGCTGATGTTTATTTCAACAGCTTTGCATTTTTGCAATGAGCATTTGCTTTTGTTTGCTTTTGTAGTAAAGATGTA